TACAAATAAAATCAATTAAAAACAATAGCACATCAACATAAAAACATAAATCTGAAAGCGTTGCTCAAACTCCCGTAACAGTCCCGTTATTTTATCTTTGAACCGCTTCATGTCTGCCACATGTTGGGTCGCGCACACATTTTTCAGACAGGGGAAGTGAGCTGCATCACCACTGGCAAGTTGCGTCTCCCACAATGACAGCTTCAACTTGAAAGAACGTATGCTGTCATAATACTGCGTGACAACTTTGTTGCACCCTTGCAGCTGTTTGTTCAAGTTATTCAGGTGTTCTGTAACATCCACCATAAATGCAAGGTCCTGCATCCATTCTGCGGAATGAAATTCTAACACTGGTTTGCCCTTTTCTTCCATGAACTGTTCAATTTCTTCTCGTAAATCAAAGAAACGCCTCAGCACAGCACCTCGGCTTAACCATCTTACCTCAGTGTGGTATGGCAGGCCATAGATGTGGTCTTTCTCTCTGAGAAGGCTGTCAAACTGACGGTGATTCAGGCTTCTGGATCGGATGAAATTAACAGTTTGGATGACCACCTTCATGACATTATCCATCTTTAATGACTTGCAACACAAAGCCTCCTGGTGCAAAATACAGTGAAAAGTAAAAAAATCACGTCCTCCATTTGCAGATTGCACTTTCTCTCTGAACTTTGTCACAACGCCTGCTTTTTTCCCGATCATTGAGGGCGCACCATCTGTAGCCAGGCTGACAGCGCGGGACCAGTCCACTCCGACCCTGTCCAGCGCGCCGACGAGTGCGGTAAAAATATCAGCTGCTGTCGTTGTATCTGTCATTGGCACCAACTCCACGAACTCCTCGGTGACGGTCAATGTGTCATCAACTCCGCGGATGAAAATGGCCAGTTGTGCAACATCTGTAATGTCCGTGCTTTCATCAATTGCAACCGAAAACGCAATAAATGACTTTACTTTTTGCTTCAACTGGCTGTCCAAATCCACTGAAAGATCGGAAATCCTGTCTGCAACTGTGTTTCTTGTCAGGCTGATATTTGCAAAAGCCTGCCGCTTTTCAGGGCACACAATCTCCGCTGCCTTCATCATGCATGTTTTTACAAATTCACCCTCACTAAATGGTTTTGAAGCCACTGCGATTTCATTAGCAATGAGGTAGCTAGCTTTCACTGCAGCGTCACTGATGTCTCGGCTGTGAGTAAACACAGACTGCTGTTTCTTCAGACCCGCCAACAGTTCATTCACCTTCTCTCATCTCCGCTGTCCTTGAAAGTTGTCATATTTGTCGGCATGAAGACTCACATAGTGGCGACAAAGGTTATATTCTTTCAGCACTGCAACATGCTCTGAACACACCAAACATACAGCTTTCCCATTCAATTCCGTGAATAAATAGGATGACCATTTTTCTTGGAACACTCTGCACTCTGCGTCCACTTTTCTCTTTTTTGACAGAGACATATTGGGGCAATGAGGGTGCCAAAGCACATAATGTTAAAAGTAGAAGCCGTAATAAATATTGCGGGCAAAACAAAGTAGCTCATTGGCTGCACGTGCTTGACCTACTTGCTCTGCCCCGGTATAAACAGTTTGCTTGCTTAACACAATTGCTATTGCGCCATCCAGTGGACGCAATTGGAACAGCAGTTTATTTAATTGAAAAATTGCAGCGCATTTTTATACAGTAAAAAAAAAAAAAAAAAAAAATTTAAATCATCTCGCGGGCCGGATTAAACCCGTTTGCGGGCCTGATCCGGCCCGCGGGCTGTACGTTTGACACCCCTGGTTTAGAGATTACTCAATTGATGTTCTAAAGAAAGGTAATGATGATGTTTGCCCAGTGCATTGACTGTTCCATGTAATATTTGCTCAATAGATCAGAAGCATATTGTGTATGATTATGTACACATTTCACATGTAAAAGTCAATAACTGGGTTTAATTGTAGACGACAACACCCAAGCTGCAACAAAAAGTATGTACAAAGTTCTCCATCCTTTCCTTTTGGACATTAGACTGCAGATCATGAACTGAGAGAGAGCCTGAGTGAGTGATGGAGTATTGTCACTGATGGATGGATATGGAAGGGTTGAGAAGAGAACTGAAGTAATAATAATAATAATAATATGCCATTTAGCAGACGCTTTTATCCAAAGCGACTTACAGTCATGTGTGCATACATTTTTGTGTATGGGTGGTCGCGGGGATCGAACCCACTACCCTGGCGTTACAAGCGCCATGCTCTACCAGCTGAGCTACAGAGGACCATAGTAAGGAAACTGGTGAGGAGGAAGCAGAACTACTGTAATGTCAACCTCCCAAAGACAGTGGACTCAAACAAACGCACGCAAACCAAGTCAAGACTAGAGTCATTTCATTTATTGACTTTCCATTGAACAAATACAAAATAAACAGACAGACAAACACCTTATATTGACTATTTCTCTAGATAAACAGTATTGTATGTCACAGGTATTAAAACCGGAGTCCAACTCTCAATAAGATTTCAACTAAAATAATAAATCAACTGTTGCACATTCACTTGTTGAACTGTTGAGCATGGCTTTTAATCAAAGGAAGATAAAAGTTAATCAACACACAGTTACCACCATATGTCTTATGATGAGGTGGCCTTTTTTGGCAATATCGATAGTACTCAAAGTTAAACTTAACCAGCACGTCTATCTGTCTCTGGTCGAATACTATGGCTTTTGTATGACTGCATCTACTGAATAGTCCTGTTACTAGGTAATAATAATCATTATAACCTGAGGTTTACAGGGTGGCAGTTGGTCATTATACACTTCTAATGGGTGTCATGACGCCAGCATCACTTCAATGATCTGACGTCTACCCTGAAGCAGTCATCAAAAATGAGAGGCTTTTTATTTGACCTGATGGGGTTGCATTAGAAATACTTCAGAATGAGTGATAAAAAATTCACAATGCTTTTAGCGCGCTGAAGTTCAGAGTGGAACATTATGGCCTACAGAACTAAAGAACATTTTGACAATGATTTTGACATTTTGATGAGTTAAGCCAGTTCATAATGAGTTTTAGGCACGGCTGTAAATCTGAGGCAGTGAGGGCTGATTGAATTGGGCAGTGATCAGCAGTTGATTACCCTTATGGCTTAAATTCACAGTGGCCTTCCTGTGTGAACATTATTAGTGATAACGTGATAATGACCAGTGATAATGTAATAATATACTGTCTGTGGTTCAGTGTTGTTGTCTGTAGGCAGAACTCAAACTGGTGAGCTGGACTTCAACTGTAGCTCGGTGACTATACATACACACAATGTAGGACTACTGACCAGTGCAGGTTATTGATGTTTTGCCGTTCTTGATGTCTGGTAAATAACGCCATCTAGTGGTAAATTATCACACCACATTATCTGATATACATTTTTAACACAAGGTGCAAATGAAATACCAAATATCCAACTACAGTACATGACTACATCTAAGTAGCCATCAATACTCTCAAAGACTTGAAACTTAAAGTGAACTGATTGTTGATTATTACCATAAAAAAACGTAAATATCATCCAAGCACTTTTTGAAGTAACAGATATTCCAAACGGTCAGTTATAAGAAACGGATCGTAATAATAACCACAGATGCAGAACTGCTAGGAAACGTATTAGAACAATTATAAACCAAAAGACCAATAAAACCAGCTCTGATCAACAAAAATAACTTGAAAAGCTTTTCTGTTTGGCTTTTTAAACTTGCACTTGGCCTGAAACGTAATGAAACCTAACAGAAAAAATATATCTGACTCATAATGATAACTGTCAGCATACAGCTGATAAACAGACTGTTTGTGCTTCAGTCAACCTTCAGAGAACTGAACAAAAAATGTGTCTAATTCTCATCATTTGTTTTCTTAACAAATCAATGACTCTTCTTTAACAACACATTGAGTAAGTGAATATTCACCACTGAGGCAATTTAAGTGTCTAAAAGGCACAAAAGCAAATAGGAATCAGTAACAGAAACCCCTCCTATCTTATGATCAGTCCCCTCTCTTGACCGCCAGAGAGGAGAGATTCATAAACACAAATACCACAGAAAACACTGCAAACAACACAGATAAAAAGGTGTACAGCATTTTAGAAAGATTTCACGAACAAATATGTGTTAATTTGGCAGCCAAGTGCTGTTTCACAACAGATTGGATTAACTGTAAACGACAGTCTGACTCTGTCTGGGGCTCATATTGTATATGCACCGGTCACCAACCTTGCTAATAAACCCATCAGAATTACATACCACATATCAGTTTTTATGGTAATACTGATCAAAGCAACTCTTTACAATAATACTGTCAGTCTGTCTTCAGAGAGTCCCGATGTGATGTGGTTTGACTTTTCTACCGCCCCTCTACTGCAGTCTTAGTATCAAAACTGGCTCCAGCCCCAAGTCTGAAAAACAAGACCGAAACCAGAGACAACATGAGTTGAAATAAATAGAGAATATACCCTCATAAAAAGCCATGTACTTGTCTACCTGTAATTTGTTTAAGACCCCAACTGCACATGTATACTGTATGTAGCACAACCAGAGTGGTTTCTTTCTCTAAAGTCACTATAGCAATAGAGGCTTTTCCTCTGTCTGTCCCTCTCTCTGTCTCCATGTGTCTCTTAGCTGGCTAATGAAATAAAATCTGTCCTGAGTTCTGTCTACATGTATACAATTCTATACAGACCAAATGTTGTTTATTTAATAAAGCAGATGGTAGCATGAGTACAAATCAGTCATGCCGTGTCATACTACTTGACAATTCTCCAGAGGAACCGAGAGGCTAGGTAAAGGATTGATTCAACAGAACAGCAGGTGGCGCCAAGTACCAAAATAACATTTTAGTAGCAGTTTCTTTTGGTAGAAATTAAGCAAAGCAAACCCCAGCCCACCCAAATGAAAGGACACAGGCAGCTGATATACAGTTTGTGCAGCTGCCAGCCAGTCAGACAGACAATCAGTAGGAAGCAGCAGGAAGCAGTAGGAAGGAAAATCAGCAGTAGCATTCCCTCTAAAGGCAGCATTCACTGAGCTGGCAGTGCAGTGCAGTGGACTCACCTGGGCTTTCTATAAGGAGCCATGTCTGAGAGGGGGACATCCTTGAGAGAACGAATGATCTCAGGGAGGAGGGGAGCTTCTGGTCTGGTTTGTCCCAGGCACGTACAGGGGAAAGTAAAGTAAAGTACCGCATTCTTCTTTACGTTCTAATTTACACGTTTACATGTTTTATGTCAGGCAAGCTATATTACAAACTAACTGATGAGCTCTGTAATATTAACAATACTGGCCTAATTTGCCTCTCATCATACTGTCATTGTCACTGCACACAAGACACAGGACCAATAGGCTAAGCTTTTCATCAACACACCAACCAATCATGTCCCTGGCAGCACAGACCATGGTATACAGGTAGCCACATGAAACAAAACAAAACAGAGGAATGATGCTAAAGTGTCTGTCTCATTTTATATTTTGAAGAGAACCGACTCAAAAAGTTTAGTGCTTCTGTCAGTGCAGTCTGGGCAGCAGCATTTCTAGGCAGAGCTTAAGCCACTATATTAGTGCTACACTACTCCGATAAAACAGCTTGTCTCAGTGAAATGCTAGGGTCCACTGCTAGTCCAGTGTGTTACAATCGGTGGTGGTGAGTGGTAGACAGACAGATAGAGCAGTCAGAGTATTGCAGCAGCAACCAGATGGACAGACCAAGATAATGCATGAGAGGAGACCGCCTGCCAATCCTCTATTAGCAAGGTTTGCCAAAGCCCAGGATTTTAAGCCCCCCAAAATCCCAGAATTTGAGGCTTGAGAATCCAAGGATTTGGATATTAAAATATTATTATTGGACTTAATGGTGAATCATATCCTAATTGGCAGCTAGCATCACCTCGTTTCAATGCATCCCCCACACAAACAATGCTGAACATCATAAGCTACCGTGAGGTCAAATCAGAATTTTTGGGGAAGCCTCTTAAAATATTTTAAAAGGAACCGATTAATGGCGTATTGAAATACAAATGGTTCCTTCCATCTCGGCTCCCTATAGCCTCCCACACTGCATCCTATATGATACTGACTACTATATTGAACACTTATACCATCGGTGGGATATGGCAAGCCCTAGAGTAGCAGCAGCTCCAGGACAGAGTGTGTTAGCTAGGATAGAGAGAGGCCCAGTGCTGAGAGGGAGCGAGAGAGGAAGGGCTAGGGGAAGGGAGAGGAGGTTGGATGTTGGATAGAGACAGAGGGAGGAGTAGGGAAGGTATACTGTAGGTCAGGGCTATTCAAATTGGGCCCCTTAAGGCCAATTACACTTCTGGGTTACATTCTTCCCATCTCATCAGGGGCTGATTTAGACCTGGAACATCAGATGAGTACATTCAGGTAGAAACAAAAACCAGAAGTGTTTTGGCCCTCCAGGACCATAATTGAATAGTACTGCTGTAGGTACTAAACCCTCCCAGCCATACGGTACGTACCTGACTCCCTGCAGCTGCTCCAGGTCTGAGGAGAGCTTGGCGCTGCGCCCCTGCTCCTCCTGTAACCTCCTCCTCAGAGAGCGGATCTCCTGCTGGGCCTCCACCTTGATGTCGTTGGCCACCACTACGGCTGTCTGGAGGTCTGCCTGGAACCGCCGCCACTCCTCCGTCTCGTCCTGAACACAAACACACATAAATACGCACACACACACACAAATGCACACACACACACACACACACACACACACACACACACACACACACACACACACACACACACACACACACACACACACACAGATACACACACACACAGATACACACACACACACAGTATATACCATATGAGGATTGTGATTCTCTTTGCATCATAGCAGTCACAAACCTTTACCATCTTGACCAACAGCAAACCACCTGAAAGTATAAAACCACTAACAGTCAGATCACTACCTTCATTTGTTTACTCAAGATCTTCAGCTGCCTCTCCACTTCAGCCTTCTGCTCCTCCAGCTTCTTGAGTTGGTCTGTAAAGAAAGAGAAATATGTCATTACTTTGAAAACATCAACCACAGAATACATCTGCGAGAGGCGCATATCATAACTGGAGGAGCTGCAGCCATTTCTTAGGCTGATAAATATATACAGTAAATCTAACCTCTTTTACTGGTGGTACTACAGGGCTAATTTATATGGTTATTATGAGCCTGCTATCGGTTAAATCTGCATTGCTATATCCATAACTCATACTTAATCCATGTGTCGCGAGCCTCACCACTAACCAAATAAAAGGACTCAAACAATGCATACCGCTACACATATTTAGTTATAGCATTGCTTTAACCAACTGCACAAACAGGTCTGTAGGATAGAGACAGATGTGCTCGTAATAAAACAGTGTGCAGTTGAAGTTGGACAGAATTGCCTGTGTCTGTCTGTGTGTCTGCTGTGCTGAGGCTTCTGGTGGGGAGACAATCTGCATGTCATCCCAGCATTAAGGGCTCAGTGGGAGAGAGCCTTTAATAGTTCTCTACATCTAACAAGCCTGTAGGGTCACAGTGAATCAGTGGAGAGCCCTGTCAGGCCAACACTCAGATATCTGTATGTCAGTGTAGTGGAGCCCAGCCATAGATCTGGTGCCTCAGACAGCTGCTCGCATCTGTCAGCCCCAGCTGAGAGACCTGCCTGATGGACTCACAGAGCTTCCCACAGTGGTGATATACACTGAATAAGCCTATTCCTGCTATTTAGTGCAGGTGTTGGCTTAATCTGGGCCTTATGTGATTAGGAGTGCTGTGCTCCTGTAACAAGTAAAAGTTAGGTTGATGACAGTTGTACTCTCCAGGTCCAGGATGGAGGAGGTAAGGTAGTACAGTAGTAGACTGGTGATATATACACTAGTGAACGTACTCTCTAGGTCCAGGATGGTCTGGTTGGTGTGGAGGTGGACGGCCCTCTGCTGCTCCACCTGGTCCTCCAGCTCAAAGATGGTCTCCTTCAGGTCCTTGATCTGGCCGTCGGCCTGCCGGCCACCCTTCTCCAGGGCACTGACTCGGCCACTCAGCTCCTCCTCCCGCCTCACGGCTTGCTCCGCCACCTGCTGGCACTCAGCCTCCACCTGGGACATAGTAGGAGATGATCTGATTGGTTAGTCACATGAATAGTTGACATAATTGGTTAGTTGGTCCATCAAGGGGCTTCTCTCTACAAGCGTACTGTTTGGTGCCACCATGAGATGGCACTGTGTCTGTAGTGACAGTGTACCCACTTTTCCAATGTCGGTTCATGTACCTGTTACCTCTATATTCAAGATGGAAGGAGAATAAAAAAGGCCTTTACAAACAAAAAGCAGGTGCATTTGCGAATGCAGAAATGTCTAACTTTTCTAAGCATGTTTGACAGAATAGGCCTATTGTATTTAATGTATTATTCCAGAAGGTTTGCGATTGCATTAGACTGTTAATTCATAAATCTTAGCCTAATCACTAGATAATAAAGGGTTACTTAACCATTAACAATTAACACATCTAAACCACCAGACATCCTCAAGTCTGGGCATGTATGCTTATCTGACAGTGACACATCCCTTACTGTAAGCAGAGCCTTAGATCTATCTATATAAGACTCTGTAACTGTACCTGCTAATACTCCCTTCTAGTCTGACGTAATAAAAGAGAGATGCTAAAAGCTGTTGGACGTCAGCCCTGCCAGTGACACAAGAGCCTAGCAGGAACTCCTCCAAAGCCACTCTGATAGCCTAGCCTACACTACAGTGTAACTGGCTTCTGGGTAAACAGGTGATGATGACTGAATGATTTTACAGTTAAGTGTCTAAAGCCCTTGTCTCCTGCTGCAGCTAATACACTTCCTGATACACTATTAACAAATACTATTTTAACCCAGTTCTGCCCTGACTGGACCACCCCAGCGTGGGCACTACTCGGCACAGAGTCCATTAGTGTGTTGTTGTGGGGGGAAACCACTGCTCACTCAGGCTTTCTGAACCTACAAGCAGATGAAGACAATTTCATAGAACATCAGTTCATATGCTGGAGAGTGGTGACGGAAAGTGCTGAACTATCACAAAGCCTCTCTTCACTAGCAATACAATATTTAATTTAAACCATCATGGTAGATGAGGTATTGTGTATAACTGTAGTTTGATATCTCAGAGGTTAAATTGTTCTTGGGGACCTTCAATGCTGCAGAAATGTTTTGGTACCCTACCCCAAATCTGTGCCTCATCACAATCCTGTCTCGGAGCTCTATGGACAGTTCCTTCGACCTCATGGCTTGGTTTTTGCTCTGACATGCACTGTCAACTGTGGGACCTTACATAGACAGTGCCTTTCCAAATCATGTCCAATCAATTGAATTTACCACAGGTGGACTCCAATCAAGATGTAGAAATATCTCAAGGATGATCAATGGAAACACGATGCACCTGAGCTCAATTTCAAGTCTCATACAAAGGGTCTGAATACTTATGTAAATAAGGTATTTCTGTTTTTTATTTTTAATACATTTGCAAACATTTAAAAAAACCTGTTGTCATTATGGGATATTCTGTGTAGATTGATGAGGTAAATGTTTTATTTAATCCATTTTAGAATTAGGCTTTAATATAACAAAATGTTGGAAAAAGGGAAGGGGTCTGAATACTTCCTGAATGCACTGTTTATCCTCCAAACACCGGCTTCAAGGGCATTATCACTTTTATACAACGGGTTACCAACATATTCAAATAATGATTGACATATTTTCATAAAAAACGTTATTTTGATGGATTTATTCATACTATTTCATCCTTCATACTATTTCATCCTTCCACGAGATACACTACACACCTGCTCGTCGAACATCTGATTCCAAAATCATGGGCATTAATATGGAGTTGGTCCCCTCATTGCTGCTATAACAGCCTCTACTCTTCTGGGAAGGCTTTCCACTATATGCTGGAACATTGCTGCAGGGACTTGCTTTCATTCAGCCACAAGAGCATTAGTGAGGTCTGGCACTGATGTTGAGTGATTAGGCCTGGCTCGCAGTCGGTGTTCCAATTAATCCCAAAGGTGATTGATTGGGTTGAGGTCAGGGCCAGTCAAGTTCTTCCACACCGATATCGACAAACCATTTCTGTATGGACCTCAATTTGTGCACGGGGGCATTGTCTTTTTTTATTTTTTGTGACTTTATACCCCCGTTATATCCAATTGGTAGTTACAGTCTTGTCCCATCGCTGCAACTCTCGTGCGGATTCGGGAGAGGCGAAGGTCGAGAGCCATTCGTCCTCCAAAACACGACCCCGCCAAGCCGCACTGCTTCTTGACACACTGCTCGCTTAACCCGGAAGCCAGCCACACCAATGTGTAGGAGGAAACACCGTACAGCTGGCGACCGAAGCGTGCATGCGCCCGGCCTCCACAAGGAGTCGCTAGAGCGCGATGGGACAAGGACATCCCAGCCGGCCAAACCCTCCGCTAACCTGGACAATGCTGGGCCAATTGTGCGCCACCTCATGGGTCTCCCGGTCGCCGCCGGCTGCAACACAGCCCGGGATCGAACCCAGATCTGTAGTGACGCCTCTAGCCCTGATCAGTGCCTTAGACCGCTGCGCCACTCGGGAGGCCCCACGGGGGCATTGTCATGCTGAAACAGGAATGGGCCTTCCCCAAACTGTTGCCACAAAGTTGGAAGCACATAATCGTCTAGAATGTAGCGTTAAGATTTCCCTTCACTGGAACTAAGAGGGCCTGAACCATGAAAAACAGCCCCAGACCATTATTCCTCCTCCACCAAACTTTACAGTTGGCACTATGCACTGGGGCAGGTAGCGTTCTCCTGGCATCCGCCAATCCCAGATCCGTCCGTCGTGTGATTCATCACTCCAGAGAAAGCGTTTCCACTGCTCCAGAGTCCAATGGCGGTGAGCTTTACATCACTCCAGCCGACACTTGGCATAGCGCATGGTGATCTTAGGCTTGTGTGTGGCTGTTCGGCCATGGAAACCCATTTTATGAAGCTCCCGACAAACAGTTATTGTACTGACGTTGCTTCCAGAGGCAGTTTGGAAATCGGTAGGGAGTGTTGCAACCTAGGACAGACGATTTTTATGCGCTAGGCGCTTCAGCACTGTCCGGTCCCGTTCTGTGAGCTTGTGTGGCCTACCATTTAACGGCTGAGCCGTTGTTGCTCCTAGAAGTTTCCACTTCACAATAACAGCACTTAGAGTGGACCGGGGCAGCTCTAGCAGGGCAGAAATTTGACGAACTGACTTGTTGGAAAGGTGGCATCCTATGACAGTGCCATGTTGAAAGTCACTGAGCTCTTCAGTAAGGCCATTCTAATGCCAATGTTTGTCTATGGAGATTGCATGGCGGTGTGTTAAATTTTATACACCTGTCAGCAACGGGTGTGGCTGAAATAGCTGAATCCATCATTTTAAGGGGTGTCCACATACTTTTGTATATATAAATTCAGCAAAAAAAGAAACGTGCCTTTTTCAGGACCCTGTCTTTCAAAGATAATTTGTAAAAATCCAAATAACTTCACAGATCTTCATTTTAAAGGGTTTCCCATGCTTGTTCAATGAACCATAAACAATTAATGAACATGCATCTGTGGAACGGTCATTAAGACACTAACAGCTTACAGACGGTAGGCAATTAAGGTCACAGTTATGAAAACTTAGGACACTAAAGAGGCCTTTCTACTGACTCTGAAAAACACCAAAAGAAAGATGCCCAGGGTCCCTGCTCATCTGCGTGAACGTGCCTTAGGCATGCTGCAAGGAAGCATGAGGACTGCAGATGTGGCCAGGGCAATAAATTGCAATGTCCGTACTGTGAGACGCCTAAGACAGCGCTACAGGGAGACAGGACGGACAGCTGATCGTCCTCGCAGTGGCAGACCACGTGTAACAACACCTGCACAGGATCGGTACATCCGAACATCACACCTGCGGGACAGGTACAGGATGGCAACAACAACTGCCCGAGTTACAGCAGGAACGCACAATCCCTCCATCAGTGCTCAGACTGTCCGCAATAGGCTGAGAGAGTCTGGACTGAGGGCTTGTAGGCCTGTTGTAAGGCAGGTCCTCACCAGACATCACCGGCAACAACGTCGCCTACGGGCACAAACCCACCGTCGCTGGACCAGACAGGACTGGAAAAAGTGCTCTTCACTGACAAGTCGCGGTTTTGTCTCACCAGGGCTGATGGTCGGATTCGCGTTTATCGTCGAAGGAATGAGCGTTACACCGAGGCCTGTACTCTGGAGCGGGATCGATTTGGAGGTGGAGGGTCCGTCATGGTCTGGGGCGGTGTGTCACAGCATCATCGGACTGAGGTTACAGGGAAGACATCCTCCTACCTCATGTGGTACCCTTCCTGCAGGCTCATCCTGACATGACCAACCAGCATAACAATGCCACCAGCCATACTGCTCGTTCTGTGCGTGATTTCCTGCAAGACAGGAATGTCAGTGTTCTGCTATGGCCAGCGAAGAGCCAGGATCTGTTGGATCGGAGGGTGAGGGCTAGGGCCATTCCTCCCAAAAATGTCCCGGAAACTTGCAGGTGCCTTGGTGGAAGAGTGGGGTAACATCTCACAGCAAGAACAGGCAAATCTGGTGCAGTCCATGAGGAGATGCACTGCAGTACTTAATGCAGCTGGTGGCCACACCAGATACTGACTGTTACTTTTGATTTTGACCCCCCCATTGTTCAGGGACACATCATTCAATTTCTGTTAGACACATGTCTGTGGAACTTGTTCAGTTTATGTCTCAGTTGTTGAATCTTGTTATGTTCATACAAATATTTACACAAAATAAACGCAGTTGACATTGAGAGGACGTTTCTTTTTTTGCTGAGTTTAGTATATAGTCCCGACACAAATCTAAGGTTGCTACCCAAGCCGACTGGTCATTTGTTCTATCTGTTCGGATGCCAGAGACACGACCCAGTCATTAAGTCTTTTTGTTCTGTATCTATGGACGCGAGACCCAGTCGTTCGTTCAAATTTTCCATTGCCATACTGGCTGGCAACATTCTTATCCTTTACTTGCTAGGTAGCCAACTACAGCTAACTTACAGTCATGTCAGAATAACAGCAAAGTAGCTGCATTTGCATTTGTTTAAGCTGTTTTCTAGTGACATTTATTTGGATACATCCATAACAATGAGCTAATGATGTGCGATTTTGCCTGGCATAGAAAATGTGCTCTCTGGTCAGGACACTGTTGTTCAGAGGAGCTAGCCAACAACACAGCTAACACACTCCCTTCAAACGGATGCTGGAAAGACTGCAAACTAGCTGCATTTTGTTTAGTTTTACCTGTTTTATATTGACATTTCTTTGTATATATCCATAAAAATTATGCCAGCTGATTCATGATTTCGACTGGCAGAGAAAAGCTGCCTGCCTGTCTGTCTCATCCCGACTCCCGACACGTTCATTACTATGGGACAGCTGGAGATCGAATTTCAATATTGAAACAATGTTGCAAATGTCGGAGAGACAGACAGCAAGGTTTATACAAATCTCCGCTGTTGAAAACCAAATGCTAGTTTTAAAATGGGAGATAATGTCTAGATGCTTTTTATAGTGGAGATCAAGTTTATAAATTGCCTTGCTGGGCTGATGAGACAGTGGATTTGCGCAGTGAGATGGAACAGAGTAAATAGGCATTTCAACATTATAGCTTTAGCCGGTGGTAACTTGTGGAATAGACACCCCCTGGAATGCTGTTTCAACCAATCAGCATCCAGGATTAGACCCACCTGTTGTATAATACAGCATACTTTCAGTGCATTCGGAAAGTTTTCAGAACCCTTTACATTTTCCACATTTTGTTACGTTACGGCCTTTACCTTTAAAAAAGTATATTCTCATCAATCTACACACAATACCGCATAATACAGGTTTTTAGACTCGAAATTGAGCTCAGGTGCACCCTTGTTTCCATTGATCATCCTTGAGATGTTTCTACAACTTGATTGGAGTCCATTAAATTCAATTAATTGGACATGATTTGTAAAGGCACACACCTGTCTATATAAGGTCCAACAGTGCATGTCAGAGCAAAAACCAAGCCATGAGGTCAAAGGAATTCAAGACAGGATTGTGTTGAGGCACAGATATGGGGAAGGGTACCAAAAAATGTCTGCAGCATTGAAGGTCCCCAAGAACACAGTGGCCTCCATCATTTTTAAATGGAAGAAGTTTGGAACCACCAAGACTCTTCCTAGAGCTGGCCGCCTGGCCAAACTGAGCAATCGGGGGAGAAGGTCCTTGGTCAGGGAGGTGACCAAGAATCCGATGGTCACTCAGACAGAGCTCCAGAGTTCCACTGTGGAGATGGGAGAACCTTTCAGAAGGAAAACCATCTCTGCAGCACTCCACCAATCAGGCCTTTATGGTAGTGGCCAGATGGAAGCCACTCCTCAGTAAAAGGCACGACAGCCTGCAAAGTACAAAGAGATCCTTGATGAAAACCTGCTCCAGAGCGCTCAGGACCTCAGACTGGGGTGAAGGTTCACCTTCCAACAGGACAACGACTCTAAGCACACAGCCAAGACAACGCAGGACTGGCTTCAGGACAAGTCTCTGAATGTCCTTGAGTGGCCCAGCCAGAGCCCGGATTTGAAACCGATCTAGCATCTCTGGAGAGACCTGAAAATAGCTGTGCAGCGACACTCCCCATCCAACCTGACAGAGCTTGAGAGGATCTGCAGAGAAGAATGGGAGAAACTCCCCAAATACAGGTGTGCCAAGCTTGTAGCGTCATACCCACGAAGACTCGAGGCTGTAATCGCTGCCAAAGGTGCTTCAACAAAGTACTGAGTAAAGGGTCTGAATACTTATGTAAATGTGATATTAGCAAAAAAATCTAAAAAACTTTTTGCTTTGTCATTATGGGGTATTGTGTGTAGATTGATAGGGGGAAAAAACTATTTTATCAATTTCAGAATAAGGCTGTAACGTAACAGAATTTGGAAAATGTCAAGGGGTCTGAATACTTTCCGAATGCACTGTATGGAATGGAAAAACTTGAGTAAATGAATGATACAAAGTATATTGAAAGCAGGTGCTTCCACACAGCTGTGGTTCCTAAGTTAATTAAGCAATTAACATGTATAAAAATGCTGGGCAGGCCATTATCTTGGCCATTATTTTGGCTACCATGGCTATGCCCCCATAGGATGATAATGCCCCCATCCACAGGGCACGAGTGGTTTGATGAGAATGAAAACTATGTAAACCATATGCCATGGCCGTCTCAGTCACCAGATCTCAACCCAATTGAACACTTGAATTCTGGAGCGGCGCCTGAAACAGCATTTTCCACCACTATCAACAACAAAAAAACATAAAGAATGGTGTTGCATCCCTCCAATAGAGTTCCAGACACGTGTAGAATCTATGCCAAGGTGCACTGAAGCTGTTCTGGCTCGTGGTGGCACAAAACCCTATTAAGACACTTTATGTTGGTGTTTCCTTTATTTTGGCAGTTACCTGTACATACTGCAGAACAGTGGTCACCAACTGGTCGATCGTGATCTCCAAGCCATTCCTAGTCGATCACCAAACATTTCTGTAAAAAACCCAGCGATAAAGCCTTGCGTTCCTATTTTTTTACTTGTTTCGTGCTGTTGACGGTAGGTGCACTTGATTCAGCAGCCCTAGCGCCGGGAAGGCAAAGTGTTCCCATTTTTAACCATTTAATGGGTCTGAAGGTAGAACTCCGCTTACCAGGCAGGCCCTGAGAGCAAATCAAGTGCACCTATAGGCCTACCACTGGCTAATCAGATAGCCCAGATCCGTGTCTGCACAGTTTCCTTGCGCCATAGACTGTAAAAATAGGCCTCGAACGCACAGCAAAGTTGATAATGTGAGATTTCAAGACTTTAAAACCAAGACTAGAGAGAGACTCAATGAATACTGCAAAGAGCTGCTGTTTTTATGACTAAATTAATGTTTAAGTTGTTATTCAGTACTGTCAACACTTTGTTCAACAGTTTTATAAGCCATCAAATGCGCATTTGATAAGCTTGCGTTGTTATTATTTGCGGCTTGGGTCATTTGAAAAAAAATAATCTGAACGGTAGATCTCGGCTTGCATTTTGACTCAGAGAGTGATCTTGACTCAGAAAAGGTTGGTGACCACTGCTGTAGAATAATAAATCACAAGACCCATAAATTACAGCCTACACTTAAGAAGGTAACAGGATGATTTAGGGCTACAGACTGCCAGAGGATGAGTTGTAGCTTGGTATCCCATCCACCTTGGTAAGCAATAAAGTTTATACTCTTTTCTATTCTATATGGATTGGTGTCCCACCCACCTTGGAGAGCAGTCCTTGGGCGTGTTCAGTGTCGGTCTGGGCCTGTAGCAGCTCCTGCCGTAGCTCTGTTACCTCCCCCTCCAATCTGTCTCTCTCAGCATGGGCCACCTTCAGCAGCCTCTGCAGCTCCGTGCTGTCCCCAGCACTCTGCATGGCCTTCAGCTCCCCAACCTTCTGTCTCTCTATGTCCACCTGGGCTTTGAGACGTCCGTTCTTCACCCTCAGGGCGTCCGCTGCCGCCCTGTGTTCCTCAGCCGCCTGTGTCATCTCACCCCCGGCCTCCACCTCCCTCTCCAGCCGGCACTGGAGGCCGTCCCTCTCCTCCCTGAGGGATCTCACCTGCCCCTGGGCCTCCTGGTGTTCCTGCTCCAGGGCCCTCAGGCTCCCCGTCAGCTGCTGCTGGATATCCACCAGCTTTTCCCTCTCGAAGCGAGAGCTCTCCACCAGGTCAGTGTAGCGCTGCTCCAGCTCGGCTGCCCGGCCCTCGTCCCTGCTCTGGGCCTGGGATGCCTCCTGCAGCCTCCCGGCCAGGGCCTCGTTCTTCTGGGCCAGCAGCTCCACCCTCTCCCTCTGCTGCTGCAGCGACGTCTGTAGGAGGCCCTTCTCCTCGGCCAGGCGCTCGTTCTCAGCCGTCAGCTCCTGGACCACCTGCTGCTGGTCGGCCAGCTCCTGTAGTGTGGCCTGGAGCTCCTCTGCCGTGCTGTGCTGACTCTCCTCCATCTTCTGGATCTGCTCCGTCAGCCTCTCCACTGAGGGGTCGCGACCCGGACCCTTCCCCACACCTACAACCCCTACACCACCACAGCCCCCATCACTGCTGCTAACTGAGTCAGACCGCGACGGGATCTTCTCAAACTCTGAGGAGTCTGGCGAGGGCGAGCCCTTGGTGATGTCACTGCTGGAAGAGACTGAGTTTTTGAGCGGGCTGGGTGTGGCTGACTTGGCTGGGAGAGTGGTGTTGTTGTCTAAAGGGAGGCCGTTGACGGAGGGCTTGGAGGGGCTGGTCGTGGTGGTAGTGTTGTTGGACAGAGGAGAGGCAGGCGAGGCCTCCAGGGAGAAAAGCTTCTCCTTCAGGACCTGGTTCTCCTCCCTCAGAGCCGCCAGCTCCCTCTGGAACTTCCCGTTCTTCTCCCTCAGCTCCCCAACCAGGGCCAGGGCGTCTGTAGCCTGCTGGGATGGACCTTGGCCCTGCTTGGAGGTACCCTCGGGTGGGGTGGAGGGGGTGTTGTGAGCCGAGGGGGACGAGGACGACAAGGCTTTCCCCCGGCAGCGCTGCAGCTCCATCCTCAGCTTGCTGATCTCAAACTCCTTCGCTTTGGCTTCAGCCAGCAGCTCCTTAATCTGGCACTCCAGGAAGCCTCTCTCCGAGCCCTCGGCATCCACCCTGGGCTTTGTGGTGGTGGAGCCGCGCTGGTGCTTGGCTGCTAGGGTGGTCAGGCTGGAGGTGCTGACGCTGGGGACCATCTTCTTGGTCGTGGAGGTCCTCAACTGGTCCCTCAGCGACACACGGTCCCTGGTCATGGTGGGGGGGATCTCCCTGGGGGCAGGGATTCCAGATTTCTTAGATCCTGATTGAACACCTGGAAAAGATTATCAAAACACACATTCAGTCTTCTGCTTTATTTATTTCTTTTTTTAATGGAAATCCACTAGTAAAAGTGGTAATGCCTTTGATTAATGCCTGTAACGTCCTCACGATTCAATAGAAACAATTTCACACTCAGACTGAAGCTCAATTGTGATGCAGTGATAATATGATGATGTGATTGTCATCATCAGGGGTCAATCATTCAACCCTATTCATAGATCCCTTTTTTTATTGTGATGGCTGAATGGCTGGTTGGTTGACACTGTGTCTGTGTTACTGTGGCCATTGAAACACAGGGCAGACTTCAGCTGCATGGCATTTCAGTGGATCCACAGGGCTTGGCTGGCTTTCTAGACCTCTCTCTCTCTCTTTCTCTCTCTCTCAAATACGAAGAGCTTTTACTGATTCATCCCCCTCGTGAGCAGGGCGCTGTCTGAAAGGCTTTTATTGTTTGTTTTGAAATAATCAGCAACACAGACACAGGGGGGTTCTTGTTACCAGGGATGACAATGGTCCGGGGCACGTGGAACGTTCCAGCACAAAGCAGCCCGTCTGTGGACAGACACAAAGAGAGCACTGTGTTGGTGACACTACACTGACTTCCATCAACCCCAGAGGGCACAGACTACTGCACAGCCTGGGCAAGAACAGATAAAGCAGGCTACTTACTGTATAACCCCATAAACAACACATATACACACACACACTCACACACAAAGAAACATTCAAGATACACTGGCAAGTTGGCTCACATCCACACCTACAAACACACACTCACAAACAAACAGTCTCTGCTCATTTGGAATGGAAATCCTACACCCCTCTGGGCTCTTAAAGCATTTCTCCATTGATGGCCACTTTGCAGGGACTATAACCTCTTTGTACGAGCTGGCTGTGCCTGCCAAGCCTCAGACAATCTCAGGGTCGCAACGCGGATTAGCATTCTTAAAGTGGGGCTCTGTGGATGAAAAGGTGCTGATGAGGCCGGAAAACACAGAGAAAGTCAGAAACATAACTTACTTCATCCAGCACTCAACTATGCTTCTTCTATATAAAGCAAGGAGCTCAGAACTCGGTTTATATTCATTATTTTTATAATACTATCATAAATTAAAATAAAATGCTACAATTCTATATATAGCAAGGACATTATAATGCTTTCTTTTAATAATAACACTATCATAAATTCTTATATTTGCTAAAAATCACAATAAAATGCCAAATAGTTCCGGTAAAACATTAAAAAGCTATAAAAATACCAGGTCAGATTGGCTGGCAGACAGAGTGACTGCAGACAGACAGTGTGGTTTGGCCTTCAGTCAAACTGTGCTTAAAAATAAGAACCTAAATACTCTGCTGGAGTGACAGCAAGCAAAAGCCAGTCATTTAAATTCCCATTAATCACCTTCGCATTGGTTCTCTATCAGTCAGGTAAAGTGAACTCCAGTGAATTTCCCAGTAGACTAGCCTCTGCTCTGCCAAGATCCCAGGGTGCCATGAAAAATCTATAATCACTTACTTCTCTGTACATTTTACAGTGGATGCCTCCATTACAGACAAAATGAGGCCATACACTCCTAAATTATGTATTATCACATGGAAGATTTTAAGATTTTAACACCTACTTGTATATGAACAAAGACTGTGATGAAATAAATTGTGTTATGTTAAAAATGACTATTCATAATGCATTACAGATTGACATATTAAGATGTTTGGGGGTGCATGTACTGTATGTACAAACCGAAACAGACAGACAGAACGTGGCAAAGACAGCATATACAGTAGGTCAGACCTATACGTCATATGGGACATATTCATGCAAATTCTCTTATTCTCATTACTTATAGGGGAAGAGAAGCAGAGAGAGAGAGAGAGAGAGAGAGAGAGAGAGAGAGAGAGAGAGAGAGAGAGAGAGAGAGAGAGAGAAGAGAAGAGAGAGAGAGAGAGAGATAGAATAGAGACTATATAGAGATAGAGAGAAAGAAAGAAAAAGAAAGACAAAAAAGATAGCTAATAACGACCCTCCCCCCCCCTCCCTCCTCCCTCCCTCCTCCCCCCTCCCTCCCCGAAAGGAGAGAGAAGATAAAATAAGAAATAGAAGTGGAGAGAAAATGAGAGCGAGGCGGATGTGTTTAAGCTCAATCCGTTTCCATTAAGATGACTAATGTTTGGAGTTGAAGTGAGATTCTGGGACATCTCCCATTCACAGCCCCCACATACATCAACTTCCCAGTCCAACTTCCAAGTCTATTTCAGATGTGGTCTGACTGTCCACATCTCATATAAAGATGCCTAACAATGGAACTCACTCTCTCTCAAATTCAAGCTGCTTTATTGGCATGAAAATCATTGCATCAATATTGCCAAAGCAACAATGTTTACAATATACATTGTTATAAAATAATGAATAATAATATAAAATAGTGAAATTAAAAAGACACAGAAGATAGGCCTATTTGACAGTGCATTTTTTTTTTCTCAACAACTTTTTTCTCAACAAGCCTTCTTTCATGGTATTCATAGATCACAAAGATATCCTCAGTGATGATAGCCAACATATGTTTTTCATAATTTAAAAGAAGGTCAAAGGAAAGAACAAACAAGACAAGCTGTGAATTAATAGTCAAGAGAAACTACTTAAATCCCTCAGTTGGGACAAACGCTTCCTGACTCTAAAGTTATCTGAGTCTGACTTGCCAAGCCTTTGACAGACAATGACAACTCCCCATTTTTAGAGGCTACTGAAAAAGAAAAAGGGAGAGAGATTGAGGGAGAAAGAGAGATGAGAGAGAACGGCGGAGAGGAAGAGAGTGGACGAGAGAGAGAGGAAAAAAGGAAAAGGAGAGAGAGAGAGCGAGAGAGCGAGTGAAAGTGAAACAGGGAGGGGGATGACTGCAGCGTTCCCTCAATCCTAATTTATCTTCGTCTTCCATGCCGTACGGCTCAACTCCTGGTCCATTCACACACAGGCAGCTCTGGGAGGAACTAAATCAGCCCCCTGTAGGGGGGTCTGCGCTGGGGGGGCGGGGGTTTGAATGCCTCTCAGAGGTGCTCCCCCCCCCACAGCCTCTGGAGGCTGGTTCTCATTAATAGCAAAGTGTAAATAATGTGAAACACGAGCTTTGGAGAGAAAGAGAAATATTGCTGCCAAGTAGAATGGGCTTTCTGTCATAAAGGCCCCCTTTATGTTAAGGAACAAGAGAAACGCTACTACATAACATTTCGTGACACAGAGGTTTTTGTGTTGAAAGCATGTCTTTTCTCATATGGTAAGAAAGACATTTTCACAATAGTGTATTGAGAGCATGGCCAAATCATGTCGTTTTTGGATAAGAAGCCACATTAACAGGGTTTAGATTGCAGGCGGCCAAATAAAGCCAGCAGTGACAGCCAAGTTTAACAGGCCGTGCCAAAGTCATTAACCCAAACTTTTAACTTAAAACATGAATGTTCCTACACAGAATATTGGCCAGTGTTAACTAGTGTTGATTTTTCAGTGTAACATTTCTAGTGTTGATTCAAGAGTTAAATTAACTCTGCAAAGAGTTGAATTAACACTCAGTGGTGTAAAATAACACCAGTGTTGGTATTAATAACCAGAGTTGAACAAAAACCACGCCCATCATTATCATATTTCCCAGCATGCTCTATTGCAGGTTGATTTTTATTTATTGTTTGTTTCATTATCTATGTTTTTGCATGTACATTGATTGATTAATTAATCTTATGCTACTCAAATTTAAATAACATTTTTCTAAACTAATCCAATCTGTTAGTTGGAATTATTGCACCTGTTACTGAAATGGTTGTTCCTGTCACGAATACAGCCGAGGCTGCCCCTCCTCCTTGCTCGGGCAGGCTTCGGCGTTCGTCATCACTGGAGTACTAGCTGCCACCGATCGATGTTTCTATGTTACACTAGTCTTGTCTTTATTATTCACACCTGTTACCCATTATGCTTATTTGTTTCCCTATAATTACCTCTGTTTTCCCTCCTGGGTTTGTGCGTGGTTGTCCGTTGTTTTACGTCGTTTGGTGAGCTGTTGTTCTGCTCTTCCCTGCGTGGAGGGTTTGTTATGGTTTACTTTTGTTTTAGTAAATCCATTCATTTCTCAGTTCTGTGTCCTGCGCCTGATTCTGTTTCACCACTTCACCCAGATGTAGACAGTTCCAGTTTAGATGCTTTAGGTAACGCTATATCTTCCCAACCCTGGCATTCATTCTGAATGCAGGTTGCAGGTGAATAAATGTTTTTCCAAATGTTGGATATCCCTAGTGATTGGAAACTGATGTTTTCTGAAGCCTATGGGGCTTTCACCAAATTGTGCCGAAAGACGGTTCATTACTCAAAGCTTTTAACACAATGCACATTAGTGACATCTGCTGGTCAGGAATACATTTCAGCATGTTTCATAATCAGAATCACCTTTATACGCCAAATATATTTACACATACCCGGAATTTGTCTTAGTAAGAAAATGCTGCTAGCAATAGACAATATACAAACAGAATACAGACATCATACAGAATATACACAATCGGAACAGTAAACATAAAACTCGAGTATAGGGTGATTACAGTGGGAATATACAATTTACAGAGATCTGTAAATCTGTCTATATATCTATATATCTGATGTTTATACAGACACTTTTCCCCCCTGCATTCATCAAAACTTTGTGGCGCAATGGATAGGTGTGAATTTTTATAAACTAAAGTTAGTAAGAATGTGGGGTTCGCATTCCACATCCTGCTTACCTTTTTAGCCGCCTGGTTCACAACATTAAAAAAAATGCATCTGTGGTATTGTTTAAGATGCTGAAGACAAAAGATTATCATAGGCTAAACTAAGTAAAACAAATTATTTTAACAACAATGTAATAATGTGCAGATAGTGGGGATTGACAGATTTTTTTCTTTTTACTTAGCCAGGATTCGATTCTGCGCCTATGGTGTCTGATAGTTTTGTATTCCTCGACCCTACCTGCCGAGCTACCGTTCAGGTGGTATGTATTGAAAAAAAAGTCAAATGGTAAATAAGGTATCCAGTAGAGGTCGGTGTTTGAAAGCTTGGCTCAAAGTTAGAAATACAATGTAGCCAGTCCAGTTCTGATATTTTTTTCACTAATGAGTCTTTTGACCAATCAGATCAGCTCTGAAAAAGATCTGATGTTAAAAGTTCTGATGTGATTGGTCAAAAGACCAATTAGTGGAGAAAAAAAATCTGAATTTGGCTGCCTGTCTAAACACAGCCTATGGAAACTATTTTAAAACAAAAAAAAATCTATACACAATGCTGTGCCTCCACAGGATAATAATCTCATTCACCGCAGCTCTACAGGTTGAGCCAACTGTCAAGTGAGAATGTGAGAAGAATATCTAGAGTAAAATTGAAGTGGTGTCCAGCAGAATGCCACCGCAGGATCAAATGAAGCTTTGTTCGTAAGTAATTTTTCACGTGGTAACTACCTGTCAACATTGCTTGGGGTTCAAATGACTAAATAACTAACTTTGACATATATATAAAAAACTTTGGATCCATTATTTGAGAATTAACAATAACAACTAGAGCCAAGCCTTTTTTGATATACTAAGAGGACCGTTATTAGCATGTTTTAACCACTCCTATGTAAATGGTAGATTATCTGACACTCAAGAAGAAAGTCTGATCTCATTATTACTGAAACAGGATACAAGTGGAAAATATAAAGATCCAGTCCATTTACAAAATTGGAGGCCCCTTACACTTCAGTGTTGTGATGCAAAAATCCTAGCAAAATGTATAGCGCATATAATTAAAAAGGTATTGTCGGATATTATTCATTCTAATCGGACAGGTTTTTTCAATGGAAGATACATTGGAGATAATATAAGGCAAGTATTGGAAACAATAGAACACTATGGAAAATATGGGAAACCAGGCCTGCTATTCATAGCAGACTTCGAAAAGGCATTTGATAAAGTTCGACTGGGGTTTATATATAAATGCCTGGAGCATTTCAATTTTGGAGAATCTCTTATAAAATGGGTCAAAATCATGTATAGTAACCCTAGGTGTAAAATAGTAAATAATGGCTATTTCTCAGAAAGTTTTAAACTGTCAAGAGGAGTGAAACAAGGTTGTCCACTATCGGCATATCTATTTATTGTGGCCATCGAGATGTTAGCTATTAAAATCAGATCCAATAATAATATCAGAGGATTAGAAATACAGGGCTTAAAAACAAAGGTGTCATTGTACGCAGATGATTCATGTTTTCTTTTAGATCCACAACTAGAATCCCTCCACAGCCTCATAGAGGATCTAGATACATTTTCTAACCTCTCTGGATTACAACCAAATTATGACAAATGTACTATATTACGTATTGGATCACTAAAAAATACAATTTTTACATTACCATGTAGTTTACCAATAAAATGGTCTGATGGTGATGTGGAATACATATCCCAAAGGAAATAAATGATCTCACTTCAATACATTTTAATAGAAAGTTAGCAAAAATAGATAAGATCTTAATACCATGGAAAGGAAAATACCTGTCAATTTGTGGAAAAATCACCCTGATTAACTCTTTAGTATTATCCCAGTTTACCTATTTGCTTATGGTCTTGCCTACGCCTAGCGAACAGTTTTTTAAATTATATGAGAAAAAAATATTTAATTTTATTTGGAACGGCAAGCCAGACAAAATTAAAAGAGCATATTTATATAATGAATATGAATTCGGAGGACAGAAATTATTAAATATTAAAGCATTAGACCTATCACTAAAAGCTTCAGTCATACAAAAGTTATACTTAAATCCGAACTGGTTCTCAAGCAAATTAGTAAGATTGTCTCACCCAATGTTCAAGAAAGGCCTTTTTCCCTTTATTCAGATTACAACCTCTCACTTTCAGTTATTTGAAAAGGAAATAATCTCCAAAATGTCACTATTTCTAAAACAAGCCATAGAAAGTTGGTTGCAATTTCAATTTAATCCTCCAGAAACGACAGAACAAATAATGCAACAAATATTGTGGTTAAATTCAAATATACTAATTGACAAAAAAACTTGATTTTTTGACAGAATGTTTAAAAAATGTATAATCTTGGTAAATGATATCATCGGTAGGACTGGTGGAGTTATGTCGCACATGCAGCTAACAAAAACATATGGAAATGTCTGCTCTACCCAAAATTACAACCAAATAATTGCAGCCTTACCGCAAAAGTGGAAGAGGAAAGTGGAAGGGGGAGAAAGTAAGGAACTTGTCTGTCGGCCTTGCATTAAAGAACATAATTGGTTAAGGAAAACTGTGATAAATAAAAAAGTATATCAGTTTCACTTAAGGACCAAAGGATTGACAGCCGTCCCATATAGATTGCAAAATAGTTGGGAAGAGATCTTTGACGTACCGATCCCATGGCATAGTGTTTATGAACTGACACGCAAAACGACACCGGATTCAAAAATTAGAATCTTTCAATTTAAATTATTATATAAAATTCTTGCTACCAATATAATGTTATTTATATGGGGGATACAATCTTCCCAGCTCTGCAGATTTTGCTGTGAAGAGACAGAATCATTAGATCATTTGTTTTGGTTCTGTCCATTTGTAGCTTGTTTTTGGACACAGGTCCAGGAATGGCTAAAGGATTGCAATATTTACCTGGAACTAACCTTGCAGATAGCATTACTGGGTATATCTGAAAAGTCATAGTCAATCAATCAATAATATAATAATACTTTTAGCAAAAATGTTTATTTTTAATTCACAATCTGTAGAAGCAATGAGAATAGAAAGGTTCAGAACTTTTGTAAAACATCACAGTACGGTTGAAATATATATGGCAAATAGAAATCCTATATGGATGGTGTTGAGAGATAGATGGGAGGTATTGAATAGAGTTGAAGGATGGGACTAATAACAAATAACAACAAATAATAACAAAGATAGCTAATAATGTAAGCATACCGTGTCCATGATAAGTATATAGGTTGTATGTTGGGAGCTTTTGGGAAAGAGCACAGTTAGAAAGATATGGCATATAGAAGCAAACCAGATGGATATCATGAAAATGATCGGAGAGGTTGAGAGTAGAAGAAGTTAGGAGCAAAAAAAAAAAATATATATATATATAGATATATATATATAATATAATTATTGTAAAATTAACTCTGTCCATAAGGTGTAGATAGTAAGTATAGACCGGAAGTAGAGGCCTGGGCATTGTTGTTCACTAATTTACTCCAAGTAGGGAAAGGATGGTGGGGTTGAAAAGTAATAAAGGGGAGTATATATATTTAAAAAAAAATAAAAAAACATGGGGGATTGGAAGTGATGCAGACAATTACATTGATAGAAGATACAATCTCTCTGCAATATTAAGCTGATCCATTCCCCCCGAAAAAAAAGGCTGGGATGGGCTACAGGACAATAGGCAAGCAGCTTGGTGAGAAGGCAACAACTGTTGGCACAATTATTATAAAATGGAAGATGACGGTCAATCACCCTCGGTCTGGGGCTCCATGCAAGATCTCACCTCGTGGGGCATCAATGATCATGAGGAAGGTGAGGGAGAAGCCCAGAATTACACGGCAGGACCTGGTCAATGACCTGAAGAGAGCTGGGACCACAGTCTCAAAGAAAACCATTAGTAACACACTACGCCGTCATGGATTAAAATCCTGCAGCGCACGCAAGGTCCCCCTGCTCAAGCCAGCGCATGTCCAGGCCCGTCTGAAGTTTGCCAATGACCATCTGGATGATCCAGAGGAGGAATGGGAGAAGGTCATGTGGTCTGATGAGACAAAAATAGAGCTTTTTGGTCTAAACTCCACTCGCCGTGTTTGGAGGAAGAAGAAGGATGAGTACAACCCCAAGAACACCATCCCAACCGTGAAGCATGGAGGTGGAAACATCATTCTTTGGGGATGCTTTTCTGCAAAGGGGACAGGACGACTGCACCGTATTGAGGGGAGGATGGATGGGGCCATGTATCACGAGTTCTTGGCCAACAACCTCCTTCCCTCAGTAAGAGCATTGAAGATGGGTCGTTGCTGGGTCTTCCAGCATGACAATGACCCGAAACACACAGCCAGGGCAACTAAGGAGTGGCTCCGTAAGAAGCATCTCAAGGTCCTGGAGTGGCCTAGCCAGTCTCCAGACCTGAACCCAATAGAAAATCTTTGGAGGGAGCTGAAAGTCCGTATTGCCCAACGACAGCCCCGAAACCTGAAGGATCTGGAGAAGGTCTGTATGGAGGAGTGGGCCAAAATCCCTGCTGCAGTGTGTGCAAATCTGGTCAAGACCTACAGGAAACGTATGATCTCTGTAATTGCAAACAAAGGTTTCTGTACCAAATATTAAGTTCTGCTTTTCTGATGTATCAAATACTTATGTCATGCAATAAAATACAAATTAATTACTTAAAAATCATACAATGTGATTTTCTGGATTTTTGTTTTAGATTCCATCTCTCACAGTTGAAGTGTACCTATGATAAAAAATTACAGACCTCTACATGCTTTGTAAGTAGGAAAACCTGCAAAATCGGCAGTGTATCAAATACTTGTTCTCCCCACTGTATATAGATAAAAACAAAAACCTTTCAGCAGAGGTCGGCGCTCTCTGTCCTGCAGTTCCGACACCCTATAAGATGGTTGTGTGATGTCCAAAGCTTTAAACGTCATCAATCATATGGTATTTTTATTTTGACACAATTATTGATACTTTTCTATTGGATCAGACTGCTTAGAAAATTGGAGATATATTTTCTATATATCCCCACTCTGGTTGGATTACCAAAAAAAATTACAAATCACTTTGCAAGAGAGCATAATGTGACTTGCAGGCCTGATGTGGCCTGTAAACCATGAGTTTCAATTTTAATGAAAACATATTCGCTTAGGATCTCACTTGGTGAAGGCCACAGGACAAAAAATGTATGAATGCAACAACCATGTCTCTGTCATTAACAAATACAGTCGTGGGTGGTAACTCTACAATTCACTCGGCAAGGCACACTGGGAAATATGCAAATAAGGCTTTATACTAAGCAAAGTGTTAATTTAACACTGAAAAGTGTGGACCCGTATAGACACTGGAATAGTGTTAAATTTAACAGAGTGGATTCAACAGTGGAGAATTTGTGGTGTGCTGACACCAGAAAACACACGTCCACACAGAGAGAACCATTGTTAGTAACCCCACTTTTGATCACATTGAATCCTGCTGAAATGGCCTCCTGAAATGATTGCTTTGTTTACATTAAGTAATTGTTTGATTAATTAATAACACACAGCCAGCCTTCCGATAATCCGAGAGTACTCAAGTGTGAGTACTTCATCACAATAATGCACTCTGGTGCATATCTATCTTTTTAATGAAGATTAGGTTTCAAATCACAGCAGGCCAGGGGACATGTGTCTGAGTGGCTTCTGGACACCAGCCAGCATTACCAGCCAGCCAAGCCAAGCCAGCAGCCAAGAGGTAACAGGGTGCATTGTGAAGGGAAGGCAGCCCCCGGCCCGTCTTTAATTTACAGCCACGGGGGGACAGGAGAAGGAGTGATGACAGATTAGTGTCCGGGGCTGGTCAGGCAGGTCAAATGTCAGAACAACCGTTGGCATCTGAGATGACACAGTGACACAGTTAGTAGCTCACTACAATCAGGAAGGAATTACCTTTGAGAGGAAAATACCACCCCCCCGTCTCATTTCCCCACCACACACACACACGCACGCACGTGCGCAAACAAACACACATACACATGTCCACGCGCACACACACACACACACATACACACCATATCATTTCCACCCCTAGCCCTCCCCCTCTGGAGTTCCAGGAAGTGCAGTCTAATGTTTTCCAGTCAGGTGGATGTGGGGGGTACAGAGCAGTCAGACAGAAACAATATCTGTCTCTCTCTGTCTGTCTGGGGTTTCCTGTTGTCCAGGCAGTAACTGGACAGAACATAGCCTGGTGGTCCCAGATCTGTTTATGCTGTCTTGCCAACTCAACACAGGAGTTGGCAAGACAGCACAAACAGATGTGTGACCCTGCTAGACAGGACCGGGATGGGGAGTAAGTGGGTAGACTGGAGCTTATCTCTCAGACCCTGGGATCACACAGGCATTCCACACACAGTGGGGTTTCCATATGCGTTACTACTGTGACACAGCAAATGGAATGGTCAGCCAGGACGGTCAGTCAGTCAGTCAGCCAGGATGGAATAGCCAAAGTCAGTCAGTCAGGGACAGGGGAGACAGATGTCTGTGCTGACTGGCACAGTCCAGGGGACCCATCATCCAAACCCTCTTTCACATAATACATTGAGCATTTGATTGAGCCTGTCTGGAGTGCCATAATAGGGACAGGATTTGCATATTTGGGACTTTTCCATTGTTTCCATATTGCCAGCAGCCAGATGAACTCAATCAAATTCTATTTGAACTCAGGTCTGTCATCATCAGACAAACATCAGACAACAATTATCATCATCCTAACTCTTCTAGTAGAAATTAATACTACCGACTAGGAGTTAGCAAAGTCACCACTTAAAGAAACATAGACTCTCATATTGTTTTCCACTTATCATAGGCTATCTCTGGACCAACTGGACACCCTCCTGTAGCTCAGTTGGTAGAGCATGGTGCTTGCAACGCCAGGGTTGTGGGTTTGATTCCTTACGGGGGGCCAGTATGAAAAATGTATGCACTCACTAACTGTAAGTCGCTCTGGATAAGAGTGTCTGCTAAATGACTAAAATGTAAAAATCTCTATTTGCAATATTATAGCAACTGGACAGATATTTCACTATGGTTCCTGAAAGTCAGATGACGGTTTAAATTCACCCTGGCCAAAACTTTATCTCTTGGCCTGTGTTTCAGGTCCCAAAGACTGGATAGATATTCCACAATAGTTCCTGCATATGAGTTCATGAAAGTTAGACAGAAAGTATAGCCTAAATGCACTGGCCAAAACATATTCTCTTGACCCCAAGGTTCCAGGTCCCAAAGACTTTGGGTCAGATTCAGGACATGACATCATAATGTGGAGGAGGACGAAGTACAGTATCATTAGAGAGTGGATCTGCAGATTACATCTGATTTAGAGCCCAGAATGTTCTACAATGTCACCAGATACATTTTATGGCAGCAGGAAATATAGTAGAGGCAGGCAATCATTATTTATGCAGGATTTCAATAAGCCCACCATTTCCCATAGACTATAGTACACCACTAAAGATGCACATCAATTAAAATGAATCTGATTTGTGCGCAAAAGTGGTGAAAAGTGGTGTAATTGCATTTGCTGGTGATCGGGGGGTGGTGTAAATCAGTTAATGATCTAGATACACAGACAGTTACTAGGACAATGGAGGGTAAGCAGCAGCAGCACATAACGTTAGTGCTTTGTGAGTGTGCGCTTTGGGGCTGGTTTAGAAATAGTGTACAAAAGTATAGGGTTTAGACCCGAAGGTCTTTGTCTGGCTTTGTATGGGCTTTCCAGACTATTGAGTTTAGGAAATGATTGCATTGGGGAATTGACTGGATATATTATATTATCTGCACTTGGGAAAAGTCCAGTCTCTGATCCTCAAACCCAACAAACCCTTCCCTTGTTCTTTGTGATTATATCTTAATATCTTTATTCCTGTAGATCTTACATGCTGCCATCATGTCTATAGAGGGATTATTATCATAGTACCATAACCTTCCCACCATAGATTTTGAGCAGTGATAATAACCAATGGGCTCAGATCTCCACTCTTCTACTTCAGCAGTGATACACCACATCCCTGCCAGACCACGGGCCGAACAGTTTGCTTTTCAAGAACCAAACAAGACTGAAAACATTTGACTATGATAGTAAAATCTGGCCACAATGCTGGCCATTGGGGGAGTGTATAGATAGCCGTCCTATAGTACAGTAGTTGCATAATATGTGCAGTACATATAAGCTATAGTATAAAATCCATACTGTATGTACTGTACAATCAACATGGCACACTCTTTCAATAATATGTTTGAGTTGAGTAACATATTCCTTTGAGAACATTAGAGCCTTTTAAAGAGTTTGAGAGGCTTTTTCAATTCTGTTTGCCAATCTGACAATATGTATGTGAACTAATTTGCTGAAAGAATGGAGGTAAGTAGAGCATTTGGCATGTCTGGCTGTGAGGGATAAGTAAAAGGGTCAGTGTGGAGAGACAGAGTGATGGAATCTGCCACCACATTGGCTGAGATAATATTTCCCCTCCTGGGACCGGCCAATAATCCTGCATATAAATAAGGAGAGAGGGAGGGGAGAGAGAGGGAGGGGAGAGGGCAGAATGGATGGGTTTTGGCTGGGCTAAATGGAGACTGTAAATCGCTCAGCGGAGTGGAGTAAAATAAGTAGAGTTACGGTATGGGATCAAAAAGCTGACTCACAGAGGGTGACATTTTGACTTGTGATGGTTTGGAAATACTCTGTAGGCAGCATATAGAAAAACCATTACTTGATTACACAGAGAAGGGGAATTGCTGCACTTGCTGTGCCGGAAACAAGAACAAAAAACACCAAGAAGTAGAGGTATAGAGCCCTGGCTAGTATTCACAACAACCTCTACCGTAAGCCAAAGAGAAATAGCCCATTCTCATGTAGTCATTATGGGTAGTGAGTGAGTCTACTGTCAGCAGGTGGCATTTCATTCATCAAATACTGCTGAGAAGTGGAACCTTAGCTCACCTGCAAGTCTGCACTGTCACTGTTGTAATGCTGCACCATGGAAATAGCATGATGTGCTTTGCTGAGGTGAGTTGGCAAGCAGCAGTAGACTAATTTATTACATTTACATTCAATTACGAAGTTAAGGATGTTCCTTTTGAGGGTATAAACTGAACTAAATGTGCATGCTGCTAATTCTGTAGATACAGTTTCCCCTTTACTGAAGAACTCTGCTTTAGGAAGGTCAATGTTCTACAAAGGCATACATTTGGTACCTCACATCAGTGCATGAGCACAGCAGATTAGATTTCTCACTCCAGAAAGAGCAAAAGGGGACAGTTAAGACGGCTGGCTATCTGCTAAATCAAATGTATTGACATCAGATGGCCATTTTTAGAAATCAAACACTTTTAGCCAAGATACAGCCAGAGGACAACTCATCAAGCGTTCGTTCGGGTTCAACATCAATCTACAAATCAAAACATCAACCTTTCAATTTGATGCTTATGCTGGTCACACACATTCTCAGGCTCTGAAAACTTGGCTTAGAAAACGTTTTTTAAAGAGTATTTCTTCAGAGTATTTGAGTCCAACATCCAAAACATCAGCCTTTCTTTATTTCAAATATAAAATAGAGGGATTGACCTTTTCTCCTTGACTTTTACATTTCTTTCATGATCCAAATACACATCCTACATGATTTTGGAAATTATTTGGATATGATTTTTTCCTGGAGAGGATGAAATATAATACATTTGTGGGTTTAGGATTAAGCTGAGAATGGGAGAGAGATTTCCACACAGAGGACTTAGAAGGTATTATTGAGAAAAATACTTGTTCACCTCCCTTCCCCACCCTTTCCACAGACGACCAAAAGTCAAACTAATTATAATGTGCAGTATTGGATTATACTTCACAGTCTATCTGAGGGGAATCCATAGCCAGACTCTGAGAGATACTGTATACACACACTTCTAAGGAGATGTTGGGTTTTATATGCCTCACACACACAAACTATTGTAAAGAATGGGATGCTGCTTACATGGTAGATCCAACTAAAACTGTCTTTGAGTGTCAATTTCATACAGCAGGCTACATACAGACAGTACAGTCAGTTACTCTGATGTTCCATGTTCTGACCATGCTTCAAATAATTATTCACAGAGAGCCATACTGTAGTTAGTGCTTTGATGTCTGTGTAGTGTGTAGGGGAGAGTGAGGTAAGTTGAGCCATTTCTTACATTCAGCATCACCCCGTCAAGGGAAATACAGCAATCTTTCTAACAAAGATATCTACATATATTTCAGGATGTTGTGTATCCCTGTAAACAATCAGAATGGTCTCAACTTAACCCAGGTATGGGAGTTGAGCCGCAGGGCAGGGTAAGTTAAGCCGCCTACAAATTTCTGTACTGAATGAAATATTACCACTACCCTTTTACAACCAAGTCTAACTTTATTTCCCAAACACAATTCAACACAATCACAATACAGTACATTCGGAAAGTATTCAGACCCCTTCACTTTATCTACATTTTGTTACGTTACAGCAATATTCTAAAATTGATTAAATTGTATTTTTTCCCCTAAACACAATATCCCCATAATGACAAAGCAAAAAAAGGTTTGTCAAAATGTTTGCAAATGGCACAAAAATAAAAAACAGAAATATCACATTTACATAAGTATTCAGACCTTTTACTCAGTACTTTGTTGAAGCACCTTTGGAAGCGATTACAGCCTTGAATCTTCTTGGGTATGACGTTACAAGCTTGGCACACCTGTATTTGGAGAGTTTCAGGTCTCTCCAGAGATGTTCGATCGGGTTCAAGTCCGGCCTCTGGCTGGGCCATTCAAGGACATTCAGAGACTTGTCCCGAAGCCACTCCTGCGTGGTCTTGGCTGTGTGCTTAGGGTCGTTGTCCTTTTAGAAGGTGAACCTTCGTCCCAGTCTGAGGTCCTGAGCGCTCTGGAGCAGGTCTTCATCAAAGATATCTCTATACTGTACTCCGTTCATCTTTCCCTCGCTCCTGACTAGACTCAGTCCCTGCCGCTGAAAAACATCCCCACAGCATGATGCTGCCAGCACCATGCTTCACCATAGGGATGGTTTTGGCTATGTGATGAACGGTGCCTGGTTTCCTCCAGACGTGACGCTTGGCATTCAGACCAAAGAGTTCAATCTTGGTTTCATCAGACCAGAGAATCTTGAGTCCTTTAGGTGCCTTTTGGCAAATTCCAAGCGGGCTGTCATGTGCCTTTTACTGAGGACTGGCGTCCGTCTGGCCACTTTACCATAAAGGCCTGATTGGTGGAGTGCTGCAGAGACGGTTGTCCTTCTGGATGGTTCTCCCATCTCCACAGAGGAACTCGGGTTCTTGGTCACCTCCCTGACCAAGGCCCTTCTCCCCCGATTGCTCAGTTTGGCTGGGCGGCCAGCTCTAGGAAGAGTTGTGGTGGTTCCAAACTTCTTCCATTTAAGAATGATGGAGGCCACTGTGTTCTTGGGGACCTTCAATGCTGCAGAAATGTTTTGGTACCCTTCCCCAGATCTGTGTCTCGACACAATCCTGTCTCGAAGCTCTATGGACAATTCCTTCGGCCTCATGGCTTGGTTTTTGCTCTGACATGCACAGTCAACTGTGGGACCTTATTTAGACAGGTGTGTGCCTTTCCAAATCATGTCGAATCAACTTAATTTACCACAGGTGGACTCCAATCAAGTTGTAGAAACATCTCAAAGATGATCAATGGAAACAGGATGCACCTGAGCTCAATTTCGAGTCTCATAGCAAAGGGTCTGAATATTTAGTGCCTTCGGAAGGTATTCAGACCCCTTGACTTTGACCACATTTTGCTACGTTACAGCCTTATTCTAAAATTGATTACATTTTTAAAAATCCTCATCAATCTACACACAATACCCCACAATGACAAAGTGAAAACAGGTTTGTAGAAATTTTTGCAAATTTATTTTTAATAAACGAACGCTGTAACCTAACAAAATGTGGGAAAAGTCAAGGGGTCTGAATAAGAATACGATTTTTTAACGCAGGTCTACCTACTTCCCCTGGGTACAGCAACTCACTGAGACTCCTCTTCTTGGCCTGTTTCCTGAATCCTGATGTTGGTCTGTCTCCAATGAGAATCTTTATGTAACAAAATAGTGCTGTGGCTGCAGATTCCTCTTGTCTTTCTTTCCACATTCTTTGGTGTTTTGCTAATGCTCATCGAGTCATGGTCTGACTCTGCCCAGCTCTTGAGGAGTATCCACCATGTGCAATGGATCTCAACAAAATCACAAACATTTCTTCAAACAAATTAGATATCGATGTCAAAACGAACGGACCTATTGTTTATTAATTAAGAGAGAGGCTCTCAGTTGTAAATGTCAACATGACATGCTGGGAATTATGCTACATCTAACATAGTGGCTATAGTTTCTACAAGCCAGCACATTACGGTTGGGTTTGACACGATAGTATAAAAAAGGGCAGGCCTATAATAGTCTAAGCACTTTCTGTGGGTACAGTAAATGTCATAATGAGAGGTATCCCTCCCAGTGAAAGGAGGAATGTGAGAGACAATGCCCTGATTGCCCTGCATGTATGAAAGCAGCCCAGCTGTCAGTGAGGTGTGGTGTGTGAATTCTGCTGACGGGGATGCGAGCGCACACACACACACACACACACACAAACAAACAAACACACAAACACACACACACACACAGCCTCGCCCAAGAATCCAGCAGCACGTTGCCGCCCATCTGCATGTGATCGCATCGCATAACCTGAACACTACATCACTAACTACCTCTCTCTCTCTCAGCAGAGAATCTCTCTGTTTCCTGCCTCAACTGGCACAGATACACACACAGGCACGTGTACACACACATTGCATGGCACCACAACAACACGCATGCATGCTTAATTAAACACATACCGTATTATACACTGAGTGTACAAAACATGACATAGACTGACCAGGTGAATCCAGGTGAAAGCTATGATTGATCCCTTATTGATGTCACTTGTTAGCATTGGAGTCAACATGGGCCAGCATCCCTGTGGAACGCTTTCGACGCCTTGTAGAGTCCATGCCCCGACAAATTGAGGCTGTTCTGAGGGCAAAATCGGGTGCAACTCAATATTAGGAAGGTGTTCCTAATGTTTGGTATACAGGGTTTTGCAAAAGTATTCATCCCCCTTGGCGTTTTTCCTATTTTGTTGCATTACAACCTGTAATTTAAATGGATTTTTATTTGGATTTCATGTAATGGACATACACAAAATAGTCCAAATTGGTGAAGTGAAATGAAAAAAAAACACTTGTTTCACAAAATTATAAAAAATTAATAACGTAAAAGTGGTGCGTGCATACAGTGGAGAAAAAAAGTATTTAGTCAGCCACCAATTGTGCAAGTTCTCCCACTTAAAAAGATGAGAGAGGCCTGTAATTTTCATCATAGGTACACGTCAACTATGACAGACAAAATGAGGAAAAATCACATTGTAGGATTTTTTATGAATTTATTTGCAAATTATGGTGGAAAATAAGTATTTGGTCAATAACAAAAGTTTCTCAATACTTTGTTATATACCCTTTGTTGGCAATGACACCGGTCAAACGTTTTCTGTAAGTCTTCACAAGGTTTTCACACACTGTTGCTGGTATTTTGGCCCATTCCTCCATGCAGATCTCCTCTAGAGCAGTGATGTTTTGGGGCTGTCGCTGGGCAACACGGACTTTCAACTCCCTCCAAAGATTTTCTATGGGGTTGAGATCTGGAGACTGGCTTGGCCACTCCAGGACCTTGAAATGCTTCTTACGAAGCCACTCCTTCGTTGCCCGGGTGGTGTGTTTGGGATCATTGTCATGCTGAAAGACCCAGCCACGTTTTCATCTTCAATGCCCTTGCTGATGGAAGGAGGTTTTCACTCAAAATCTCACGATACATGGCCCCATTCATTCTTTCCTTTACACGGATCAGTCGTCCTGGTCCCTTTGCAGAAAAACAGCCCCAAAGCATGATGTTTCCACCCCCATGCTTCACAGTAGGTATGGTGTTCTTTGGATGCAACTCAGCATTCTTTGTCCTCCAAACACGACGAGTTGAGTTTTTTACCAAAAAGTTATATTTTGGTTTCATCTGACCATATGACATTCTCCCAATCCTCTTCTGGATCATCCAAATGCACTCTAGCAAACTTCAGACGGGCCTGGACATGTACTGGCTGTCAGGGCGTGTGTAGGTGTGGTGTAGGAAATCAGATGCAGGACGCAGACGGTAGGTTCCAAAAGCTGTATTCCGACCCAAACACAGGCAACAGGGCAACAAAGCCCAACAGCTAAACTACGCCCAAGGCGTGTAGGCAAAATGCGCACAAACAGGTGCGACAAAATAAGTAGTGCACGAAACAAGTGCAAACGAGCTCCAGCGCAGTGGAGAGAAATATGCTCAACCGAGCAAACACAACACTGACGAAAACAATCACACACAACACAAGACAAACACAACGAGAAACTTATAGGACACTAATCACGTAAAACAGAAACAGGTGTGACACAAACAGACAAAAGCAAACGAACATGAAAACATAAATCGGTGGCAGCTAGAATTCCGGAGACGACGAACGCCGAAGCCTGCCCGAACAAGGGAGAGAGGCAGCCTCGGCCGAAACCGTGACAGTACCCCCCCCCTTGACGCGCGGCTCCAGACGCGCGCCGACTCCGGCCTTGGGGACGACCCGGAGGCCGCGGCGCAGGGCGCGTCGGATACCCCCGATGGAATTCCGTCAGGAGCGACGGGTCCAAGATGTCTCTCCTCGGCACCCAGCACCGCTCCTCCGGACCGTACCCCTCCCACTCCACTAGATACTGAAGACCCCCTCTCCGACGTCTAGAATCCAAGATGGATCTCACGGTGTACGCCGGTGCCCCCTCGATGTCCAACGGGGGCGGGGGGGTCTCCAAGATCTCATGTTCTTGGAGCGGGCCTGCTACCACCGGCCTGAGAAGGGACACATGGAACGAGGGGTTAATACATTTATACTCCACTGGCAACTGTAATCTATAACAAACCTCGTTCAACCTTCTCAGGACTTTAAATGGCCCTACAAACCGCCGACCCAGTTTCCGACAGGGCAGGCGGAGGGGCAGGTTTCTGGCAGAGAGCCAGACTCGATCTCCAGGTGCGTACACAGGCCCCTCACTGCGGTGTAGGTCGGCGCTCGTCTTCTGTCGACGTATGGCACGCTGCAGATGGACGTGTGCAGCGTTCCACGTCTCCTCCGAGCGCCGCACCCACTCATCCACAGCGGGGGCCTCGATCTGGCTCTCATGCCATGGTGCCAGAACCGGCTGGTACCCTAAAACACACTGAAAAGGGGTTAGTTGGGTGGAGGAGTGGCGAAGAGAGTTTCTGTGCCATCTCAGCCCAGGGCACATATCTCGCCCACTCCTCCGGCCGGTCCCGGCAGTATGTTCTGAGAAACCTGCCCACATCCTGGTTTACGCGTTCCACCTGCCCATTACTCTCCGGGTGGTAACCCGAGGTGAGACTCACCGAGACCCCCAACCGCTCCATAAAAGCTCTCCAGACTCTGGAGGTGAATTGGGGACCCCGGTCAGCCACAATGTCCTCGGGCACCCCGTAGTGCCGGAACACATGAGTGAATAGTGCTTCGGCGGTTTGTAGGGCAGTAGGAAGACCCGGCATGGGGAGCAAACGACAGGCCTTAGAGAACCGATCCACAACGACCAGGAGTGTAGTATTCCCTTGAGAGAGGGGAAGGTCAGTTATAAAATCCACCGAGAGGTGGGACCATGGTCGTTGTGGAACGGGCAGGGGTAGTAACTTACCCCTAGGCAGATGTCTAGGCGCCTTACACTGGGCGCACACCGAGCAGGAGGAAACATAAACCCTCACATCCCTGGCCAACGTAGGCCACCAATATTTGGCACTAAGACAGTGCACTGTCCGGCCGATACCCGGATGTCCAGAGGAGGGTGACGTGTGAGCCCAATAGATCAATCGATCCCGACACTCGAGCGGAACATACCTCCGACCCTCCGGGCATTGTGGTGGACTAGGGTCGGTGCGTAATGCCCGCTCGAGCTCAGAATCGAGCTCCCACACCACCGGTGCCACTAGACACGACTCCGGCAGTATGGGAGTGGGCTCCACGGACCTCTCCTCCCCGTCATACCGCCGAGACAGTGCATCTGCCTTACCGTTTTGTGACCCAGGGATGTAGGTGATCTTAAAAGAGAAACGGGTCAAAAACATACTCCATCTAGCCTGTCGAGGGTTCAGCCTCCTCGCTGCCCGGATGTACTCCAGGTTACGGTGGTCCGTCAAAATGAGGAAAGGGTGTTGAGCCCCCTCAAGCCAGTGCCTCCACACCTTAAGGGCTTGGACCACAGCTAACAGCTCCCTGTCCCCTACGTCATAATTTCGCTCCGCCGGGCTGAGCTTCTTGGAATAGAAGGCAACGGGGCGGAGTTTAGGTGGCGCGCCTGACCGTTGGGACAGCACGGCGCCAATACCGGCTTCAGACGCGTCCACCTCTACCTGAAATGGTAAAGAGGGATCCGGATGCGCCAGCACCGGAGCCGAGGTGAACAGGTCCTTCAGCTTCTTAAAAGCCCTGTCCGCCTCGACTGACCACTGCAGACGCACCGGGCCCCCCTTTAAGAGAGACGTGATGGGAGCTGCCACCTGCCCAAAACCCCGGATAAACCTCCGGTAGTAATTCGCAAACCCCAAAAACTGCTGCACCTCTTTCACAGTGGTTGGTGTTTGCCAATTACTCACGGCTGACACTCGGTCTACCTCCATCTTCACCCCTGACGCAGACAACTGATACCCCAAGAAGGAAATCGACTCCTGGAAAAACAGACACTTCTCTGCCTTCACATACAGGTCGTGCTCCACCAGCCTCCGCAACACTCTGCGCACCAGGGCCACATGCTCGACACGGGTAGGTGAGTACACGAGGATGTCATCTATGTACACCACCACTCCCTGTCCCTGCATGTCCCTGAAGATCTCATCCACGAATGATTGGAAAACTGACGGAGCATTCATCAACCCGTATGGCATGACGAGATACTCGTAATGGCCCGAGGTGGTACTAAAGGCTGTTTTCCATTCATCATCCTTCCTGATGCGCACCAAGTTGTACGCGCTCCTGAGATCTAATTTCGTGAAGAAACGCGCCCCATGCAACGACTCAGTCATGGTCGCAATCAGCGGGAGTGGATAACTATACTTCACCGTAATCTGATTGAGACCACGGTAGTCGATGCACGGACGCAACCCCCCATCCTTCTTCTTCACGAAAAAGAAACTCGAGGACGCGGGGGAAGTGGACGGCCGTATGTATCCTTGTCTCAGTGATTCGTCTATGTAAACCTCCATAGCTTTCTTCTCCTCCTGAGACAGAGGATACACATGACTCCGTGGGAGCGCAGCTCCTGCCTGAAGGTCTATCGCACAATCCCCCTGCCTATGGGGTGGCAATCGCGTCGCCCTCGCCTTACTAAACGCGATAGCCAGATCCCCATACTCAGGTGGAATGTGCAATGCGGGCACCTGGTTTGGACTTTCCACCGAGGTAGCCCCTAAGGAAACGCCCAAACATCTACCCACACACTGAGCAGACCACTCCTTCAGAGCCCTCTCCTGCCACGAAATAACGGGGTTATGGGTACTTAACCAGGGCATGCCCAGCACCACCGGATACGCAGGAGAGTCAATCAGAAACAGTTGTATTATCTCCTGATGACTCCCCTGCGCACACATCCTAAGTGGCGCCGTGACCTCCCTGATTAAGCCCGTACCCAACGGACGACTATCTAGGGCGTGAACGGGAAAAGGAACTTCCACAGGGAGAAGGGGAAACCCTAACTCTAAACAAAACTTCTTATCAATGAAATTCCCAGCCGCGCCTGAATCTACCAGCGCCTTACACTGGGAATGAGGTGCCACCTGCGGAAAACACACAGGCATACAAAAATGGGCAACAGTGAGCTCTGGGTGAGTGGGGCGCCTACTCACCTGGAGGGAATCCCCAGTGCGGGACCTGTCGTCATCTCCCCGAGGAGGCCATCCCCAGCACCTAGCCGCGGTGTGTCCTCCCCGACCACAGTTGGTGCAGTGGATGGACCCCCCACTCTGCCGACTCCTCCTACCTCTAGCGCCAGCGCCCCCGAGCTCCATAGGACACGGCTCGGGTGCGCTGGAGGATGGAATGGACGGACCCCCCTCAGGACGTCCGCGGGTAGCCAATAGGTTATCCAACCTAATTGACATGTCGACCAGCTGGTCGAAAGTGAGACTGGCGTCCCGACAGGCCAGCTCCCGACGGACGTCCTCTCTGAGGCTACATCGGTAGAGATCGATGAGGGCCCGATCATTCCACCCTGCATCTGCCGCTAGAGTACGGAATTCGAGTGCGAATTCCTGGGCACTCCTCCTCCCCTGCCTAAGGAAGACCAGACGCTCCCCCGCCGCTTTCCCCTCCGGGGGATGGTCGAACACCGCCCTAAAGCGGCGGGAGAACTCGGTGTAGGTAATGGTCGTGGCGTCGATCTTCCTCCACTCCGCGTTGGCCCACTCCAACGCTTTACCGGCCAGGCAGGAGATTAGGGCGGACACGCTCTCATGCCCTGAAGGTGCCGGATGGACTGTGGCCAGGTACAGCTCGACCTGGAGCAAGAACCCCTGACACCCAGCCGCTGTCCCGTCGTAAGCCCTCGGGAGAGATAGACGGACTCCTCTATGTTCCGGTGCTGGAACGGGCGGGCTGGCCGATGGTGCTGGCTGGGCGGGCGGTGGTGGAGGCGAACCCCAGCCTCGGAGTGTGGAAATAACCTCCTGCAGGGCGTTCCCCATCTGCAGGAGTTGCTCCTGCTGATCCCGAACCTGGGCTTCCAGTCTTGTCTGGGCTGCTTCTGCTCCTGCTGATTCCATGTGTGGTGTGTGATTCTGTCAGGGCGTGTGTAGGTGTGGTGTAGGAAATCAGATGCAGGACGCAGACGGTAGGTTCCAAAAGCTGTATTCCGACCCAAACACAGGCAACAGGGCAACAAAGCCCAACAGCTAAACTACGCCCAAGGCGTGTAGGCAAAATGCGCACAAACAGGTGCGACAAAATAAGTAGTGCACGAAACAAGTGCAAACGAGCTCCAGCGCAGTGGAGAGAAATATGCTCAACCGAGCAAACACAACACTGACGAAAACAATCACACACAACACAAGACAAACACAACGAGAAACTTATAGGACACTAATCACGTAAAACAGAAACAGGTGTGACACAAACAGACAAAAGCAAACGAACATGAAAACATAAATCGGTGGCAGCTAGAATTCCGGAGACGACGAACGCCGAAGCCTGCCCGAACAAGGGAGAGAGGCAGCCTCGGCCGAAACCGTGACACTGGCTTAAGCAGGGGGACACGTCTGGCACTGCAGAATTTGAGTCCCTGGCGGTGTAGTGTGTTACTGATGGTAGGCTTTGTTACTTTGGTCCCAGCTCTCTGCAGGTCATTCACTAGGTCCCCCTGTGTGGTTCTGGGATTTTTGCTCACCGTTCTTGTGATCATTTTGACCCCACGGCGTGAGATCTTGCGTGGAGCCCCAGATCGAGGGAGATTATCAGTGGTCTTGTATGTCTTCCATTTCCTAATAATTGCTCCCACAGTTGATTTCTTCAAACCAAGCTGCTTACCTATTGCAGATTCAGTCTTCCCAGCCTGGTGCAGGTCTACAATTTTGTTTCTGGTGTCCTTTGACAGCTCTTTGGTCTTGGCCATAGTGGAGTTTGGAGTGTGACTGTTTGAGGTTGTGGACAGGTGTCTTTTATACTGATAACAAGTTCAAACAGGTGCCATTAATACAGGTAACGAGTGGAGGACAGAGGAGCCTCTTAAAGAAGAAGTTACAGGTCTGTGAGAGCCAGAAATCTTGCTTGTTTGTAGGTGACCAAATACTTATTTTCCACCATAATTTGCAAATAAATTCATTAAAAATCCTACAATGTGATTTTCTGGATTTTTTTTCTCATTTTGTCTGTCATAGTTGACGTGTACCTATGATGAAAATTACAGGCCTCTCTCATCTTTTTAAGTGGGAAAACTTGTACAATTGGTGGCTGACTAAATACTTTTTTTCCCCACTGTATGTATTCAACCCCTTTGCTATGAAGCCCCTAAATAAGATCTGGTGCAACCAATTACCTTCAGAAGTCACATACACTACCGTTCAAAAGTTTGGGGTCACTTAGAAATGTCCTTGTTTTCGAAAGAAAATTATTTTTTTTGTCCATTAAAATAACATCAAATTGATCAGAAATACAGTGTAGACATTGTTAATGTTGTAAATGGCTATTGTAGCTGGAAACGGCTGATTTTTTATGGAATATCTACATAGGCGTACAGAGACCCATTATCAGCAACCATCAGTCCTGTGTTCCAATGGCACGTTGTGTTTGCTAATCCAAGTTTATCATTTTAAAAGGCTAATTGATCATTAGAAAACCCTTTTGCAATTATGTTAGCACAGCTGAAAACTGTTGTGCTAATTAAAGAAGCAATAAAACTGGCTTTCTTGAGACTAGTTGAGTATCTGGAGCATCAGCAATTGTGGGTTCAATTACAGGCTCAGAATGGTCAGAAACAAATAACTTTCTTCTGAAACTCGTCAGTCTATTCTTGTTCTGAGAAATGAAGGCTATTCTATGCGAGAAATTGCCAAGAAACTGAAGATCTTGATGATCTGTCACATGATCTCAGTATATATACACCTGTTCTGAAAGGCCCCAGAGTCTGCAATACCACTAAGCAAGGGGCACCACCAAGCAAGCGGCTCCATGAAGACCAAGGAGCTCTCCAAACAGGTCAGGGACAAAGTTGTGGAGAAGTACATATCAGGGTTGGGTTATAAAAAAATATCAGAAACTTTGAACATCCCACGGCGCACCATTAAATCCATTATTAAAAAATTGAAAGAATATGGCACCACAACAAACCTGCCAAGAGAGGGCTGCCGACCAAAACTCACGGACCAGGCAAGGAGGACATTAATCAGAGGCAACAAAGAGACCAAAGATAACCCTGAAGGAGCTGCAAAGCTCCACAGCAGAGATTGGAGTATCTGTCCATAGGACCACTTTAAGCCGTACACTCCACAGAGCTGGGCTTTACAGAAGAGTGGCCAAAAAAAGCCATTGCTTAAAGAAAAAAATAAGCAAATACGTTTGGTGTTCGCCAAAAGGCATGTGGAAGACTCCCCAAACATATGGAAGAAGGTACTCTGGTCAGATGAGACTAAAATTGAGATTTTAGGAAAACGCTATGTCTGGCGCAAACCCAACACCTCTCATCACCCCGAGAACACCATCCCCACAGTGAAGCATGTTGGTGGCAGCATCATGCTGTGGGAATGTTTTTCATCCGCAGGGACTGGGAAACTGGTCAGAATTGAAGGAATGATGGATGGCACTAAATACAGGGAAATTCTTGAGGGAAACCTGTTTCAGTCTTCCAGAGATTTGAGACTGGGACGGAGGTTCACCTTCCAGCAGGACAATGACCCTAAGCATACTGCTAAAGCAACACTCGAGTGGTTTAAGGGGAAACATTTAAATGTCTTGGAATGGCCTAGTCAAAGCCCAGACCTCAATCCAATTGAGAATCTGTGGTATGACGTAAAGATTTCTGTACACCAGCGGAACCCATCCAACTTGAAGGAGCTGGAGCAGTTTTGCCTTGAAGAATGGGCAAAAATCCCAGTGGCTAGATGTGCCAAGCTTATAGAGACATACCCCAAGAGACTTGCAGCTGTAATTGCTGCAAAAGGTGGCTCTACAAAGTATTGACTTCGGGGGGTGAATAGTTATGCACGCTCAAGTTTCTGTTTGTTCTTGTTTGTTTCACAAAAAAATATATTTTGCATCTTCAAAGGGGTAGGCATGTTGTGTAAATCAAATGATACAAACCCCCCCAAAATCCATTTTAATTCCAGGTTGTAAGGCAACAGAATAGGAAAAATGCCAAGGGGGTTGAATACTTTCGCAAGCCACAGTACTCACTGTATATGAGCATATAAAGGTAAGATGTCAATTCTTTTCAATATTTCGCTCTTTCGTATACACTATATTGATACAATATAGCCTATATCAAAACAAACACATCTGGAAAAAACACAGCCCTAAAAATTCAAAGTACAACATCGATTCCTCCTTCTCCCCTTCCATCCTATACACTCTGTACACTCTTCCTTAAAATACCAAATCTGTCCAAGCCTCTCCCTCATCAACGTAAGGAGCTATCCATCCTCTGCCAGCAGCCCCAGGAGACCACCCCACCCACTCTGCTCTTGTTTTATACTTAGTGTATACTGAATGTGATAAGTCTACTATTGTGAAAGTGTCAGGTCAGGAACAGATGTTTAGTAGAACAATGAGAACTGTACATGTACTTTCTCAGCAGACACACTGCAATTCCCTGAGAAACAAAGCCTGTGTTATCACTGTCTGATTAGTTTGGTTATGTAGTGTTGTTTCGGATGAGGAATCTTTTCCTGTGGACTTGTTGTTGTGTGTCCTGAGAAAGTCTCTCCAGCACTGTGTGTAGTAGACTGTCTAGCCTATCACTCTCCTTCACTGAAACTTCTGATGCCCAAGTGTGAGCAAAGACAACAAACGGTCATGTTGTTCCAGTGACCACCATTGTTATTACTGCATTGATGTCAGACAAAAACACCCCAGAACTATCAAACGCTTCTCTGCTTTCCCAAAATTCTGGAAGCTTTTCCTGCATTACCACTACCTCCAAACATCCCGGCTACGCTGCATGGGCACAAAACCCACAGGACCGTGCAAACTCACTATCCTTTTTTGAGCATGAGAAACGCTCTAACCCTCTCTCGCTCTCTTTCTCTCTCCCTCTTTCTCTCTGGCTCCCCCTCTCACCTCACTGAACAAACATCTTGCCAGTCGCCACAGTTCGCCATGGCCGGGGTTCTAATTCTGCCTCCAGACAGCTCTGGGTTGCATGGAGTCGAATCTGAAAATAGGCCCACTGTTCTGCGTTCAGCCATTATATTTCACTGATAAGGTCATCATCAGAGTATCTGCTGGCCCATTCTCCCAGTGTGTAGAGCGCTGGACCACTGACTCTCCCAGTCAGAAGAAGGGGAGAATAGAGAGCCAGAATACAGTGGTGGTTAGATTAGATTAGAAAACATTATCTTCTAATGAGGAAAGTCTTTGTGCAGCAAACAAACAAGATAGGCTAATCAACCTGGTGAGAAATAGCTTAAAATCCTCCTCTCGGTCCTTGATCAAATCCCTCTCTCATTGATTGCTTTATCCTCTCCTCTGCAGACTCCTGTACATCCTGACAAATCAGCCCATTTTGTGATCAATTCTCATTAACTATATGAATGCTTGTTTGATTGGATGGGGCAATGGAGGTATGAGAATAATAATAGCATGATCGATAAACTTTACAGTAGACCACATCAAATTATAATAAGGGTCTTTATGGGATCAAACAGAGCATGTGTGCGTGTGTGTGTGTATATATACAGTGAGGGAAAAAAGTATTTGATCCCCTGCTGATTTTGTACGTTTGCCCACTGACAAAGAAATGATCAGTCTATAATTTTAATGCTAGGTTTATTTCAACAGTGAGAGACAGAATAACAACAAAAAAATCCAGAAAAACGCATGTCAAAAATGTTATAAATTGATTTGCATTTTAATGAGGGAAATAAGTATTTGACCCCCTCTCAATCAGAAAGACTTCTGGCTCCCAGGTGTCTTTTATACAGGTAACGAGCTGAGATTAGGAGCACACTCTTAAAGGGAGTGCTCCTAATCTCAGTTTGTTACCTGTATAAAAGACACCTGTCCACAGAAGCAATCAATCAATCAGATTCCAAACTCTCCACCATGGCCAAGACCAAAGAGCTCTCCAAGGATGTCAAGGACAAGATTGTAGACCTACACAAGGCTGGAATGGGCTACAAGACCATCGCCAAGCAGCTTGGTGAGAAGGTGACAACAGTTGGTGCGATTATTCGCAAATGGAAGAAACACAAAATAACTGTCAATCTCCCTCGGCCTGGTGCTCCATGCAAGATCTCACCTCGTGGAGTTGCAATGATCATGAGAACGGTGAGGAATCAGCCCAGAACTACACGGGAGGATCTTGTCAATGATCTCAAGGCAGCTGGGACCATAGTCACCAAGAAAACAATTGGTAACACACTATGCTGTGAAGGACTGAAATCCTGCGGCGCCCGCAAGGTCCCCCTGCTCAAGAAAGCACATATACAGGCCCGTCTGAAGTTTGCCAATGAACATCTGAATGATTCAGAAGAGAACTGGGTGAATGTTTTGTGGTCAGATGAGACCAAAATGGAGCTCTTTGGCATCAACTCAACTCGCCGTGTTTTGAGGAGGAGGGATGCTGCCTATGACCCCAAGAACACCATCCCCACCGTCAAACATGGAGGTGGAAACATTATGCTTTGGGGGGTTTTTTCTGCTAAGGGGACAGGACAACTTCACCACATCAAAGGGACGATGGACGGGGCCATGTACCGTCAAATCTTGGGTGAGAACCTCCTTCCCTCAGCCAGGGCATTGAAAATGGGTCGTGGATGGGTATTCCAGCATGACAATGACCTAAAACACACGGCCAAGGCAACAAAGGAGTGGCTCAAGAAGAAGCACATTAAGGTCCTGGAGTGGCCTAGCCAGTCTCCAGACCTTAATCCCATAGAAAATCTGTGGAGGGAGCTGAAGGTTCGAGTTGCCAAACGTCAGCCTCGAAACCTTAATGACTTGGAGAAGATCTGCAAAGAGGAGTGGGACAAAATCCCTCCTGAGATGTGTGCAAACTTGGTGGCCAACTACAAGAAATGTCTGACCTCTGTGATTGCCAACAAGGGTTTGCCACCATGTACTAAGTCATGTTTTGCAGAGGGGTCAAATACTTATTTCCCTCATTAAAATGCAAATCAATTTATAACATTTTTGACATGCGTTTTTCAGGATTTTATTTTTGTTATTCTGTCTCTCACTGTTGAAATAAACCTACCATTAAAATTATAGACTGATCATTTCTTTGTAAGTGGGCAAACGTACAAAATCAGCAGGGGATCAAATACTTTTTTCCCTCACTGTATGTGTAAAGGAGTGTAAAGTACTCTTCCTAGCCTGGTATTGAAAACCTTGTTTTGTGATGGATCGTACAGTGAAATTACGGTGATGGCTGATGCATTACACTGTAACGAACCAACTAAAAAAGAGTGATCATGACTCTGATTATTAAAGACTTCCCAGAATTAGTCCTAATGATATCACAGATAAACCATCTGTTTAGATTCTAAACTCCTTTAGAAGGAGATGGTAAAGATGAATCAATCAAACACTGTGTCACGACTTCCTCCGAAGCTGCCACCTATCCTTGTTCGGGCAGGCTTCAGCGTTTGAAATCACCGGACTTCTAGCCACTGCCGCTCCTCATCTCATCATTCCATTTGTTTTGTCTTGTTTATTACACACACCTGGTTAATATCCCCTCATCAGTACCTGTATAAGTGTTCCCTCTGCCCCCATGTCTTTGTGTGTGATTGTTTATTGTGGAGGATAGCTAAGCTCGGTGAAGCTCGGTGTATTTTGTATTGCCGGGATATGCCCCGTGTGCCTTGTATTTTCCAGTGCGCCTGTTTTGCGCACTACAGTGTTTGACGCATTTCTGCGTAACTCTGTATTTGCGGAATAAAGCCTGTTATTCTGTGATTTACGCTCCTGCGCCTGACTCCTTCGACATCACCTCATCAAACACTGTTTCCAGCGCCTGATCCATTAAGAAGGACAGTTTTTCTCTTCTCTAGTAGCCTAATCTCAGAACCCATAACCAATCCTGCCCTAGCTAGCTACAGTGAGGGAAAAAAGTATTTGATCCCCTACTGATTTTGTACATTTGCCCACTGACAAAGAAATGATCAGTCTATAATTTGAATGGCTACAAGACCATCGCCAAGAAGCTTGGTGAGAAGGTGACAACAGTTGGTGCGATTATTCGCAAATGGAAGAAACACAAAAGTACTGTCAATCTCCCTCGGCCTGGGGCTCCATGCAAGATCTCACCTCGTGGAGTTGCAATGATCATGAGAATGGTGAGGAATCAGCCCAGAACTACACGGGAGGATCTTGTCAATGATCTCAAGGCAGCTGGGACCATAGTCACCAAGAAAACAATTGGTAACACACTACGCCCTGAAGGACTGAAATCCTGCAGCGCCCGTAAGGTCCCCCTGCTCAAGAAAGCACATATACAGGGCCGTCTGAAGTTTGCCAATGAACATCTGAATGATTCAGAGGAGAACTGGGTGAAAGTGTTGTGGTCAGATGAGACCAAAATCGAGCTCTTTGGCATCAACTCAACTCGCCGTGTTTGGAGGAGGAGGAATGCTGCCTATGACCCCAAGAACACCATCCCCACCGTCAAACATGGCGGTGGAAACATTATGCTTTGGGGGGTTTTTTCTGCTAAGGGGACAGGACAACTTCACCGTATCAAAGGGACGATGGACGGGGCCATGTACTGTCAAGTCTTGGGTGAGAACCTCCTTCCCTCAGCCAGGGCATTGAAAATGGGTCGTGGATGGGTATTCCAGCATTACAATGACCCTAAACACACGGCCAAGGCAACAAAGGAGTGGCTCAAGAAGAAGCACATTAAGGTCCTGGAGTGGCCTAGCCAGTCTCCAGACCTTAATCCCATAGAAAATCTGTGGATTTAGGGAGGGAGCTGAAGGTTCGAGTTGCCAAACGTCAGGCTCGAAACCTTAATGACTTGGAGAAGCTCTACAAAGAGGAGTGGGACAAAATCCCTCCTGAGATGTGTGCAAACCTGGTGGCCAACAACAAGAAACGTCTGACCTCTGTGATTGCCAACAAGGGTTTTGCCACCAAGTACTAAGTCATGTTTTGCAGAGGGGTCAAATACTTATTTCCCTCATTAAAATGCAAATCAATTCATAACATTTACATGCGTTTTCTGGATTTTTTTGTTGTTATTCTGTCTCTCACTGTTCGAATAAACCTACCATTAAAATTATAGACTGATCATTTCTTTGTCAGTGGGCAAACGTACAAAATCAGCAGGGGATCAAATACTTTTTTCCCTCACTGTAGATAACTAGATTACATTTTGTTCACCAAAGTCCATCAAAGTCTGTCACGAGAGATTACTCCTCTAGTTACTTCACTGAACATCAGCCCCACAGCTCTCCAACATCCTAAAATAACCTGTATCTGTGGCTCCATATCAAACATAGTCATGGTCAGTTGATAATACTATACATTTGATGTACTCAGTGTGTGACTCCATTGAGGATAGTTACGCCCTCACTCAACTCTCCAACACCATCATCCTAAAATAATCTCTATATATGGCTTGGCTTCATATCAATAGTCATGGTCAATTGACAATAACACACATTTGTCATGTAGTGTAACCAGAGCTCTAAATTGCACATATGCTCCTAAATATTTAGCTGCGTGATCTGGAATTGATATTTGGGAGTGCCTAGAAAAAAATTAATCACACACAATAATTGTTGTAATTATTAATGAAACGTCTTGTTTTTAGCCCAAACCGTTCAAAGGATATGACCCATATTACCGGCTCTACGTTTTTTCCTTTCTATCGCGCATTGGTGGGGCACATTTTTATATTCTTAAACCATGTCACGGGCTGTTCTAACAGTAGGTTTTCATTGGGGATTATGCATCGCCTAGCCACGCTAGCTTTTCCCAGAATGGCTCACAGTTACATATCGCAATATTATTTTTGGACGATATTATATCGATACTTTGACTCCAAAGTTGATTTATAAAAAAATATTTGCTTCTCTTCCATCCGTTGTTTCATTGCCCCACATCGTCTACAGTGAAAACCCACTGTAAAGACAAAAAGTTGGACCCGAACCCGAACGGACCCAAGGACAGACCCAGACCCGAATGGACACAAAAAAAAAAAAAAAAGGGGGGACAGTGTCTTCAGGAGATCAACGATCATAGCACTGAATGAAGTTCTCTTGCATATGTTGTCACTTACAAACTTGACTTTCTTAAAGAGACAGTGTACAATTTTAAATGTAATGTATCTCAATAGGAAAATAGTGCTTTTACACAATGTAGGAAACCTAATATTCCACAAATGACTTTGTCATTTCAATTACAGGTATTTTTATCAACATTTTAGCTACATTGCTAGGGCACAGATTGTGCTTCAAAATAAGCTAGAATTCATATAGGCACAATATAGGCTATCTCTCCATCAATTAAAAAATGCATGTTGTGCTCCTAACTTTTTTGAAGTTTAAGAAAAAATTAATTAATTAATTTAGAGCCCTGAGTTTATTTTACTATATACCGGTATTGATGCACAGACCATTTTTTAAATTTATTTTTGTACTTTTACCCCTTTTTATCCCCAATTTCGTGATATCCAATTGGTAGTTATAGTCTTGTCCCATTGCTGCAACTCCCCTACGGACTCAGGATAGGTGAAGGTCGAGAGCCATGCGTCCTCCGAAACACGACCCTGCCAAGCCGCACTGCTTCTTGACACATTGCTTGTTTAACCCGGAAGCCAGCCGCACCAATGTGTCGGAGGAAACACCGTACAGCTGGCGACCGAAGCGTGCATGCGCCCAGCCGCCACAAGGAGTCGCTAGAGCGCGATGGGACAAGGACATCCCAGCCGGCCAAACCCTCCCCTAACCCGGATGACGCTGGGCCAATTGTGCGGCGGCTCATGGTTCTCCCGGTCACGGCTGGCAGTGACACAGCCTGGGATCAAACCCGCGTCTGTAGTGAGTCGTCTCTCTCCCTCTCTCTCACCAAGCCCTGCCCCCTGTCACTCAAGGAGCACAGTTGTTGTTGCTTGACCACAAGACCACTTGCCGAGTTGCCGTTCACTCTTCAGTCTGCATGGTCAATGCAGCAGATACAACAAGATGTTGATGACAACGATGCTGCTTTCCACTTTGCTTCTTAACATAAATCCACAAGCGTTCTATAATTACACTATTCGTTTGTGTATCTAAGTCCCGTGTAGCTCAGTTGGTAGAGCATGGCGTTTGCAACGCCAGGGTTGTGGGTTCGATTCCCACGGGGGGCCAGTATGAAAATGTATGCACTCACTAACTGTAAGTCGCTCTGGATAAGAGCGTCTGCTAAATGACTAAAATGTAAATGTATGTCTGCAAACAGCTAGTTTGTCTTTTAGCAAGTTGTGGCTAAAATAAATTGTGTTAGCCGTCAACGCTAATCACTAGTTAGCTGCCTAGCTAGTTAGCTAATAAATGTACTGAGTCAGAGTAAACGTAGCTAGCCTATCTAATACAGCCTGATACCAGTGCTGGTGTAGGCCTAAATCAGCATGTTGTTTGTGCAACAGTATCTTGTAAATCAGAGAGGAATAGGCAAAGTAAGAGAAAACATTTAATGTAGCCAAAGATTATAGGGTCCCTTGGGAAACACTGACCAACACTTTGGTGTCTACCCTGTCACAATAACTCCTCCCTCGCTTTTTCATTTGTTGTACTGTCAAACAACACTGTATTCAAAGTGCCCACTAATATATTCTAACTATAGAATTAGAATAATCATGATTCCAACAGTTCACCCAAGTGTTTTGATCTAAATCGCAAGTCAAATCGCAATTGCAATATTTGGTTAAAAATACGTGAATATTGTGCAGCCCTAAGATTCCACATCAGCATGTTGTTTGTGCAACAGTATCTTGTAAATCAGAGAGGAATAGGCAAAGTAAGAGAAAACAGGGTAGACACCAAAGTGTTGGCAGTGTGGAAATGATCTCATTGCAGCAAATGTAGAAAACTGTTTTTGGTAGAAGTTTGATTGAACAGTATAAAACAATCAGAATGGAGAAAAAAACAACATTGAAATGACTTAGAATGTATTTGTTGCTACCCTAGGGTCATGCACTGTTCATTATTCAAAAACCATCCAAAATACTGTTAAAAAGTTGACAAATATTGTGATCTGATATTTTAGCCATACCGCCCAGACTTACCCGAGTGTGAATCCATTGAGGATAGTAAAGCCCTCACTCAACTTTCATCCTAAAATATCTATGGCTTCATATATTGATAATAATACACATTTGACATGTACTGTGAATTCATTGAGGATAGAAATGCCCTCACTCAACTCTCCAACAATATCATCTTAAAATAACCTCTATCTATGGCTTCATATCAAAGATAGTCATGGTCAATTGCTAATAATAACACATTTGATATGTACCCTAGTGTGTGTGACTCCCCTGAGGATAGTAAAAGCTCTCTGGCAGTATTAGTGATTCTTGGCCAGTGTATATTAATAACACCTTCCTAATATTGAGTTGCGCAACCCAAGTGTTTTGTACACTCAGTGCATTTGAAACATACTGTACGTGATACAAATACTTAACAGATGACCAGCTTCATTAAATAGTACCCACAAAACACCAGTCTCAACGTCAACAGTGAAGAGGCGACTCCGGGATGCTGACCTTCTAGGCAGAGTTTCAAAGAAAAAGTTATATCTCTAACTGCCCATCTTAATCTTTTCTTTTTATTGGCCAGTCTGAGATATGGCTTTTTCTTTGCAACTCTGACTAGAAGGTCAGCATCCCGGAGTCGCCTCTTCACTGTTGACGTTGAGACTGGTGTTTTGCGGGTACTATTTAATGAAGCTGCCAGTTGAGGACCTGTGAGCTGTCTGTTTCTCAAACTAGACACTCTAATGTATTTGTCCTCTTGCTCAGTTGTGCACCGGGGCCTCCCACTCCTCTTTCTATTCTGGTTAGAGCCAGTTTGCGCTGTTCTGTGAAGGGCGAAGTACACAGCGTTGTACGAGATCTTCAGTTTCTTGGCAATTTCTCGCATGGAATAGCCTTAATTTCTCAGAACAAGAATAGACTAACGAGTTTCAGAAGAAAGTTATTTGTTTCTGGCCATTTTGAGCCTGTAATCGAACCCACAATTGCTGATGCTCCAGATACTCAACTAGTCTCAAGAAGGCCAGTTTTATTGCTTCTTTAATCAGCACAACAGTTTTCAGCTGTGCTAACATAATTGCAAAAGGGTTTTCTAATGATCAATTAGCCTTTTAAAATGATAAACTTGGATTAGCAAACACAACCTGCCATTGGAACACAGGACTGATGGTTGCTGATAATGGGCCTCTGTACGCGTATGTAGATATTCCATTAAAAATCAGCCGTTTCCAGCTACATAGAGAACAGAAAGAAGCAAGAAGAGAGAGAGACAGAGATACCAGTGGTTTCTCTGACTAATGTGATGTTAAAGGCTGCTAAATGAAGTTAAGAGAGACTTTGAAATGGAAATGTATTAAGCAGTCTATCCTTAGGGCATTAGAGAGAGAGAGAGAGAGAGAGAGAGGTGAGAGAGAGAGGCGAGAGAGAGGAGAGAGGAGAGATAGAAGAGAGAGAGGAGAGAGATGAGAGAAGAAGACGAGATAGAGAGAGATCTATATAAGCTAGATCCTAGCTCACGAGTCTCTCTCTCAGCTCTTCGCGATCTCCACCTGCTCCCTACTCCACTTTCTTTTCCACTCACCTCTCTGTCCGATCTCTAACCTGGAAATTCCACTCGGCCCCTCTGACAAGAGGCAGCTGCTGGAGATAAAACACACTCAGCACTTTTCATGTCCAGATATCGTGAACCACACACACACACACACACACATGCCGGCACACACAAAGCCAAACATACACATGCAAACACACACACACACACACACTACTAATCAATTAAAATCCTTCCTATTTGAATCTGAGTAATAAGAGAAGAAGGGCCAAGTAAACCTACAGTACAAACAGAGCCACTGGCACTGTACAGCTCAATATGTCTGACAATGAACCTTTAAATGGGATTTTCTGAACTGGCATGAGATCAGATTCATAACTAAGCTATTTGGCAATGCATGATGGCTTTGTTTGCCTCTCACATCAATAGAGCACATAGGGACAGAGAGAGGGGGGAAAGAGAGAGAGAGAGAGAGTAGAGAGAGAGAGAGGAGAGAGACGAGAGAGAGAAGAGAGGAGAGAGATATAGCAGAGAGAGAGGGGAGAGAGAGAGAGAAGAGAGTGAAAGAGACTGATGAAGTGAATGAGTATAGATAGCCTCAGTGATGGAGAGAGTAGTGGTGAGTGAACAGAGCTAAGCTGGCATACGATAGAATACGGTAAGGTAGCAGACCTGACTCAGGTTCCTCCAGTCTACCCGCCTGGTTCCCCATGCTGGTTCGGTCCGCAGCTCTACCCACTCTCCACACCAGGAAGGACTAATCCAAGAACCCCGGCGGAGGCGGCTTTGCTCAGAGAAGCTAACAGTATGTAGTCTCAGTCTGATCCACCGGCAGAGATAAATACAGGAGACAAAAATAATATCCCTTCCTTTCTCTCTTCTCTCCAGGTCTTCCTGAGGCTGAGTGAGAGGAGGCAGACTGTCCCGCTGCCTGTGTGTGTGTGTGCTCAGTCCTCCAGGCTGGTGACAGTATGACACACTGGCAGGCAGAGCGGTGTGGGCTTCATTAGCCCAGTGACGGCTGGAATCAGCACAGAGGAGGAGTGGCTTCCCCACGCCACACACACATATACACACACACACACACACACACACAGAGACCGGCCCTCCTTCTCTGCTCCTCCTCCTTCCCAGTCTCACAGACTCTCCCCAGAGCTGTTCTACACGCTCTCTATCACAGTATAGCAGAAATGACTGCTGCTTTTTAACACAGTATACTGTACCTCAACAAAGTAATCCCCTCTTTCTGGTACAGTATAATGAAAGAGAGAGAGACTGATGGAGGAGGAAGAGAGGAAGGAAAAAGAAGGAGGAGGAAAAGGATGTTTTGTCTTGTTGGCAGAGGCTGACAGCAGAGCTCTCTCTTCTCTTCCCTTTCATGTGAACTCTCCTGACCTCATCCGTCCAGCAGAGAGAAGGATCACCAATTAGCTGGATCTTACTATTAACACACACATACATGCACACACACACACGCATACATGTACTATCTTTCTCCCTCTCTCACATACACACACACGCATGCGCACACACAAAACGACACACACTGCCAGTGTTTTCATAGCGGGACTCTACTGGGGGGCTGTTTTGGGGTGTGTGTATGAAAACGGAGGGGAGGGAGGGGCAGTGGGTTCAGCCGGGGGGGGGGGGGGGGGGGGGGGGGGGGGGGGATGAGAGGATAGCTTGTTTTTTCCCCCTCTCTCCCTCATTCACAATGTATGTGTCTGAAATATTCATGATGATAAAAGCCACAGTAGGAGAAACAAAGTTGGGAGTGAATTGAAGTGTCATCTCCGGTTGGATTTGTCCTTTATTGAGCGACACGACTTTAAGGCAACCTCTCTTTCTCTCTCCCTCTCAGTGTGCCTCCCTCTCTGTGTGCCTCCCTCTCAGTGTGCCTCCCTCTCAGTGTGCCTCCCTCTCAGTGTGCCTCCCTCTCAGTGTGCCTCCATCTCAGTGTGCCTCCCTCTCAGTGTGCCTCCTTCTCAGTGTGCCTCCCTCTCAGTGTGCCTCCCTCTCAGTGTGCCTCCCTCTCAGTGTGCCTCCATCTCAGTGTGCCTCCCTCTCAGTGTGCCTCCTTCTCAGTGTGCCTCCCTCTCAGTGTGCCTCCCTCTCAGTGTGCCTCCCTCTCAGTGTGCCTCCCTCTCATTGTGCCTCCCTCTCAGTGTGCCTCCCTCTCAGTGTGCCTCCCTCTCAGTGTGCCTCCTTCTCAGTGTGCCTCCCTCTCAGTGTGCCTCCCTCTCTGTGTGCCTCCCTCTCTGTGTGCCTCCCTCTCAGTGTGCCTCCCTCTCTGTGTGCCTTTCCGTCTTTCTCTCTCTCCTATCTGATGATGCTTTTAAAGTTATAACAGCCTCTGTCTGTTGCAACATTAAGCGTTTTGAAAAATCTCATTATGGGGGTAATAGGCTTTCTAAACTCAGAGATGCTGCGGTGGTGCCTCTTCCTTCTCCTCCTCCTTCTCCTCCTCCTCCTCCTCTTCCTTCTCCCCTCCTCCTTATCCCCTCCTCCTTTTCCTTCTCCTTCTCCTCCTCCTCCTTCCCCTCTTCCTTCTCCTCCTCTTCCTCCTCCTCCTCCTCCTCCTCCAGTGTTCTCCACTGATCCTCTCTCCTGTCTGAGCCCATCACTGCAGAACCACCCTCGATAAACAAACATAGCTCTAATCCAGTTAAGAATGTTCTCCTCGCCACAGGAGCCCCATTTCTATGGCCTCCAAGAAACACCTAGAAGAATCTCAGTGTTTTTGAGTCTTTGGGGGTTGCTTGGGGCACAGTCTTCTCATGACATAGATGGATGTTGTATGTACTTTAGTCAACACAAACCTTATGTCAGATGAGAAATATCTAAATATATTTTGCCTAAATAGACTATGGGCCGGTTTCCTAGACACAAATTAAGTATTGTAAATATTTTCTCAACGGAGATTCTCCATTGAAAGCACTTCTTAGTCCAGGACTAAGCTTAATCTGTGCCTGGGAAACCAGCCCTATATTTGCATGTTAATCCTATACTTTGAAGCACCACCCGGATATACTGGGTGGGTGTGGATTCCTGATTCCTCATTGCTAACATCATTACCAATGCTCTGAGTGTGTTCTTAGTGTGTGTGTATGTGTGTGTGTGTGTGTGTGTGTGTGTGTATGTGTGTGTGTGTGTGCGCGTGCGTGCGAGTGATGTGCGGGTTGACTCATAACCCGCAGTCCCCGTTATATCCGTAGGGCGTGCGGGTTTAGGGTCATGAAATATTGTGTGGATGAAGGGTGGGTGTGTGGCGGTCGGGTTGAAAAAAATATATAAATTCATCAAAACATCCATAAATGTATCATTTATGTGCAATTTATATCTATAGGCTACATTGAGGTTTTTCTTTTATTATTTTTAGGCTATCTGACATTAGTGCGTAAGCTTTAGGGCCTAACTTTACGCACGCCAAATAGCCTACATGCCTATTGCCAAACGCATTTGGGAACGGGCAGAAAAAGTTATGGTCAATACACTGAGGCAAAAAGGACAACGTCAGAGTTTAATTAAATAAGAGAAAAGCTGTGAAATGGAGAGTTGAAAATAACGAGAAGGGAGGGACAGAAAAGTAATGTTTAGGAAAGATTTGGTGAAGTGTTAAAAGAGGATGATAGCAGTGCCTATGTTATGTGTGATGCTTGTGAGGCGGTATACACATTTGACAGTCACAAGACAGGGACTTCAAATAGGCCTATGGCACATCAAGGGAAGTGTAGCATATTGTTCAGATGGGTTAAATGGAAACTGAAATCTGGACAGTGAATGTAGGTCTATAACTTCTCACATAGCCTTAATATTAACTCCTGCAGAATTAAGCATTTCTTGCAGTAAAATGATACACCGAAAGTACATTTTGACTCGGGAATAGGAGTGAAGAAATATGATTTATTTCTTTCAGCATCTTGAGAGAATGTGAATGCGCAGTTAGGGACCGTCTGTAGAGGTGCTATCTTAAAATTATAAGCAGAAACTAGGCAAAAAAATCGGGTTAGGGTCGGGCCTCAGATTTTCACTTTTATCACATATAGTCGGGCGATTGTGGATGGGTTATTAGCTATTGCGGGCGGGTGCCGGTGAACAAACAGCTGACCCGCGCACCACTAGTGCTTGTGTGTGTTTCTCTCTCTCTGTAAGCATGTATGCCTGTGTATGTGTCTGTGTGTGTCTGTCATGATATAATGCTTATGGAGGCTAAAGAGGACTGAGGAGTCCCAGTGGTTTTGAGGCGTGTTTGATTAATTAATATGACAATGATGAGGAGCAGATAGAGAGAGTGACTGTGTCCTAGTCAGGTGGGCTCCATTGTGACCCACAGACACACACTGTCCCCTCAGGGCCACATGTTTGTGGCCTCTCCACAGGCCTCCAGGGGCCCAGTGTGTGTCCAAAATGGCAATTACTATATAATGCACTACTTTTGACCAGGGCCCTGATCGAAAGTAGTGCACTACAGTATATAGTGCCATTTCAGATGCAGCTTCAGTCTGGTGTCTGAGCACGTCCACAGTTTGCCAGCCACTACTCTAGATCACTCTCCTCCCTCCTCTTCTCTCCTCCTCCTTCTCTCCATCCTTCACTGTGACAGTCAGTCCGAGGCTGAGGGATAACTCTGACACACACATCATTCATCACACACTCTGGGCAGCTCGCTCGCTCACTAGGCAAGAGGACAGACCAGACACCCTCCTCAGGTTTCTCAAATCAGTCACAACGACTTGTGGTAATGTAGAAATGATGGGGTTTTTGGGCTGATGAATGAAGAAGAGAATATAATAATATCATAATCCATCTGGAGAGGCAACACATATGGTGAGCAACCTGGGGGTGCCTGTACCCCATCAGTCACTGACAGAGGCTGCCATACTTCTCTAACTTCACCATGGAGGCAGAAATGTGACATGCCTGATAGATGATACAGCAAAACAAAACATGAAACTATAACAAGAGCACTCATTCATCTCGCCCTGACAGACAGAGAGACATTGTTGGGTGGGTCCCCCATTATTACAGCCAGCTAACTATGCTAGCTAATCAGTTTGTGAAACATCTCAGTGGATTCTTAATGAAATGGAAGTGAAGAGTGTGCGGTAAACGAGGCAGCAGGTGTGAAGGCTTTATAACCTAAGTTGGTCCTGATGATTCATACTGACCTCCTATTGACCGTGACACAGTGTGAGTGTCAGACAGGGCCAGAGGGGCTCCAGAATTAGTGTCTGGGCTGAATCAGTCATCACAATGGGATCTTCTTTGCCCTCTAGAAGGTTAGGACACTGTCAAGCCACCAGTTACAGCTTTGGACACTGTGTTCTTACAGCAGATATATTTGTTTTGGCTTTACAGATATTGATATTGAGCCACAGAGGATTTTCAAATATCTATTGTCTCTTTAAGCCAAGACACTGCTACTGGAAAAGGCAATAAAACTGCCCTTTTGAACAGTGACACACCACAAGACCTTCAAAGTTCAAACTGCCTGCAGTAAGTGCTCTGCATCCATTCCACGTGAGCACAGCACAGTGTCTAAATCAGAACAGGTGTGAGGTAAAGGGAGTACCCATCCATGAAGTAGCTACTAGTACACATCACCTTATATCATCAGGGCTGATTCAAATCAAATCAAATCAAATCAAATGTTATTGGTCACATGCGCCGAATACAACAGGTGCAGACATTACAGTGAAATGCTTACTTACA